GTAGTATCATGATGTGCCGTTCTTAAAGCATAAGCTAATTCATTTATGTAGCCATCCCAGCGCTTGTGATGTGTGCTAACGTAACTGCGAATTATTTTTACAATGTTTTTATTAACTCTTTCTGCTATGTTAGCCTGTGGTCTATACGGAACCATTTTGATATGGCGTATATCAAGTCCATTGCATATGTTTTCAAATATTTGACTAATGAATTGTTTTCCGTTATCGCTAATGACTTTTATCGGTGCACCGTATTTTAAAATGTATCTGTGTAAGAATGCATCTGCCGCAATTTCCAGGTTTTCGTCCCCCTCAGGGAATTTTAAAACAGGGGCATTAATAAGCGCTTCTTTTAATCTTTCAAAAGCTGTGTTAGCTTCCGCTGTCCACGTAAATTTACTCTTTTTTCTTTTGATTACTAAGAGTGGTTCAACAATATTAGCGAAATCTTTTATGAAAGATCGATAGTAAGAACATAGTCCAAGGAAAGACGAAAGTTTCTTGGCGGTGTTGGGCGGTGGGAAATTCTTAATAGCTTTTATTTTTGAATCTTGCGTTTCTATACCCTTTTGCGAAATTTTATAACCGAGATATTTAAGTTCTTTAGTTGCGAACTTGCAGTTTGAGGCGTTAATTGTAAGACCGGCCTCTTTTAATAATTTAAAAACTTGTTCGAGGTCATTAATGTGTTGTTCCAACGTACTACTCGTTATAATTATATCATCTAGATAAATTAAAGTTGATTTTCCTAGGACAGGCTTTAGAACAATGTCCATAGCTCTCTGGAATGTTGATGGGGCCCCACACAACCCAAAAGGCATGCGTAAAAATGCATAAGTGCCCGATTTTGTTATAAACGCGGTTTTATTTTATGTATATCTTCGGGTCTCATAGCTATTTGATAGTAGCCAGACGTTAAGTCCAAAGTAGACATATATCTCGTCGATTTGATCTGTCTAATGATCTCGTCTATAACCGGCAAAGGGTAAACTGGAAATTTAGTTATGCTATTTAGTTTTTCTATAATCGATAGCAAACCTCCAAGCCCTTTTATCCGAAGGAGAAACTCGTTCTTTTTCCTACATAGTACGACTGGACTCGCGTACTCACTATTTATGGGCGTTATTATTTTATTCTTTAACATCTCCTGAATATGTTCTTCGATGATTAAGTCTTTTTGTTTATCATAGCGATACGGTTTAGTCCTACAAAGTTTTTCGGCATTTAATTGAATCTTGTGAGTCACGATCTGACAGTTTCCCTGTTTTTCTGAAAACAAATGAGAAAAATTCCTCACCACTTGCTGTATTGCTTTACTTTCCTGGTCATTCAAATGGCTAAGGTCCAATTCAGGTGTCTCCACCGGTTCCACCACCCTCTGGTCCATCTCCAGCACCACGGAACTATCTTGAAAATTTAATTTGGCCCTCGCGGCCCTTAAAAAGTCCATACCTAAAATAAGAGAGTGTTGGAGGTCTTTCACCACAAAAATTAATACTTTGAGATTTTCCTCTTTTATCTGTAAGTTTAATGATACTTTCCCGATGCAGTGACATGTGTTTTTCCTTGCGCCGCTATAATTTCCGTATTTTTCTGGTTTTTAAAGAGTCGTATCCTATTAAAAAATTCTTTTTGAAGAACTTTTCACTCATGAAAGTTCCTTCTGCCTCCTGTATCGATGAGGGCTTCTACTCGTACATCGCCAACCAGGACTTGTATAATTGGTAGCTGTGAGTTTTTTACGATGACTGTATTTAGATGTCTATTTGAGGGTTTTTCTAAAACTTCCGGGGTCTGGACCCTCCCTTTCACAGGCCCCTCTAGTCGTTTAAAGCTTTCCTTTCAATCTGTGTCTTCTGGGTACGCGGATGCTTATTTTCAAATTTTCTTTTTGGGCCTTGACCTTCGAGTTTCGATGCGTTAGCTTGATAGTTCTTTCCCCCATACGAGCGATTTCCATTTCTGGTTTCCTCCTTCCTTCTGGTACTTTGAGAATATGTTTCCCCTCTCGCTCATTCCGCTATTCTGCGATTTTGAAATTTCACCGCCAATTCGAAAAGTTCCTGCAATGTGGTTAGGTTTCTAATTTCAAAGTAGTCTTGAACAGCGGGTAACAATCTTGGTAATATTATTTCAATAATCTCCGCATCGGGTTTCTTCCCATACAACATATCCGTTAGTTTGATTTTTCGTAAAATAAAGTCCGTCAATTGTGCTGTATCCCGTTGATAGAAACTATATAGCTCGGTTTCCAGCCGTGCGCGATCTTTCACTATGGGGAAGGCCTTTACTAACGATTTTTTGAAATTTTCAAATGTATACGTCGGGCTTCCAAATTCACCTAGAAGAAATTTGCCTATATTTTTCCACCATAGCGCGGCCTGTCCTCTTAGTGCTGATGTGGCAATAGCAACTTTTTGTCTTTCAGGCACAGGATAGAGCTGAAAGTGGTTTTCTATACCTTCTAAAAATACGGACACCGAATTTTTTCCGTCGAAATAGACGTTTGGCTTGATTGATGCTCTCAAAGTCTGGACCAGGTATCCAAATCCTTCTAACTGCGTTGTCATTTCTTGTTGTTGTCCAGCGGCTTCCATCCAGTTTTCGGCCATTTCAGTTCGATAAGTGTTCGGGCGCCAATATAACGTTGCGCGCCTCTAACTAGCACGCAACCAAGAGGTGACTGTGAAAGCTTGTATAAACCACAGAGTCTTATAAAGGGTTTAAGTCCCTTTTTATTCAACGTAATAAATTACAATGGCTTCCTCTTGACGCTTACAGACTGTGCCCACTAGGCAGTCAAATAAAAATAAGAACCTGAAAAGAAAGTAAAGACAATATTCTAACTACGAGGCTCTCTAAAATAACTAACTCACCGCGTTTTACAAATACCGCAGCTAATTCAGCAGACTTGAAGCTCACTGGAACAATTGCAACTACTTCCCGCCAAGCACATAGGCCGCAACGCGGGGTTCTTCAATTCTCGATTTCTACCTCCGCGCTCGCTAAGTAAGAATAACTCTCTCACCGAACTTGTTTCCTTCTATTTAAATCAGAATACTTCCGCTGATAATTTGAATCCTTGCGCGTTCTACTCAAATTTACATATTCTGGCATTGGCAGTTCCAGGGGAAAGTAAGGCTTGACAGGAAAGATAGTTTAAACTTAAAATAAATGTTAGTTAAAATAAATATAAACCCTACAAGTTATACAAACATTAGTATTATTTTAAATTGGCGACTTCTGTGAGGGGGTCCTGTGGCCCCTCACCCTTCCCTATACCATCTTGGGGTGCTCTAGACAAGGGGTACGCGAAGCTATACCAATTAACCGCTATGGTAGAGGGATGATTCTCGTGTCCTCCGTCACATGTCCACTTGTACAAGATGGGGCCCTCTGATCACATTTAATAAATAGTTACGCAGATGCTCTTACCTTTTCTAGTTTAAGAGGGTCTGCTATCTAAGATCTGCTCCTTCAATAATAAATAAACTTAAAAATATAAAAAATAACATTTAATGATTTTATAATAATTATTACTAATATTCAATAGTTTGTGTAAAACGTTAGCGTTCACATTAATCAACATAGCTCTCTCAGAAAAGTCATTAATGTAACGCTTGCTTTCCTGAACGTAAGATTTCCTTTCCCTCAGTGTCAGGTATTCAATCTCTGGAACTAGCACTTGTAGGGAAGATTTGGTTTTATCAAAGTATCTGCATAAGTGCAGTCCACCGTATGGAATTGTCCACTATAAAAGCGCCACTAACGTGTTATAAGATTAGCAGGATTGTCGTTGATTGAATAATAAAACCAAATATCTAGCTTAGTGAACTTTTGAATCTGCTCAACAAGATTTCGAGCGAAAGACAGCCACCTTCTGCTGGATACATTGCTGAAATAAATGTCACTTCAGAATCTCCTTAAAAAGGAATATTTGTTCAACCTTTAAGATCTAGAAACTTTTTTCTGTTCTATTCCAAATTTTGGAACATACAATATACGAATTAATACAATATACGAATTCTAGTCGAAGCAGGGAAATTTTTTTCACAGCTGAAATTCTACTTTTAGAAGTCAGCAAATTTTCAAATATTCGTTCTCGATTCTGCACGTTTACATAAACGACTGCACCATACGATTTTTGGCTTGCGTCAGAAAGAACGTATACGTGGTTCTGTATATTTTCATCACGTAAATTTAAAACAAATCTTGGAATACTAATGTTACTTGGTTATGAAAGATTGTTACATTGAGATAACTCGTAATTCAAGTCAGAGGGAAGCTCAACATCCTATGGTAGTTTACGTAAACGTTAGGTTTTATAACAAAACTTTTAGTTTAGCAGTGAATGGTATGAGCAGTCAAAAGAGTCCTATACTTTTCCAGCTGTTTGGAGATTGAAGCGCCTGGTATTTTTTTTTTCTTCTGGAAATTTTAATCAAACAAGATATGCATTCAAGCTGTCTTCCTGAATGACCAATTGAATTCCTGATATTTTTAGTATACTTTCATTTAAGCTTAGTAGATAAATGTCAAAATATTCTTCTTCCTATTTTTTAACTGGCACTCAACCAGTAGCATGTGTTAACGCCAATAGTTCAACCCGAGCTCATATTTGCCATTAGTCAGAATGTCATAAACAGCAGGAACAGCAGCTTTAATGTTTAGTTTTGAAGACAAGCAAATCAAACAGAAATAAGGAAATAAAAATTTAATTAAATTTTAAAAATAGTTATTACGGTTTAGTTATTTCACACAAAAGACTTGTATTAAAATTCTTTTATGCTAGAAAATGTATTAAACTTCTTTTATGCTTCCATGCTAGGAGACAACAAAAAACATCACTATAAATCACATAAAAAATTCCAGTTTCCAGTAATCAATAGCATTTGAAATATTTTTTTAACTTTCATACTTTTTAGTGCTTATATACTAAATTTTTATTTATATAAATGAAATAATTAGCATACTAATTTTCTATACATTTCCAGTTCTTCTTCAAATCCTGAGTGCCTATACTGAATTATTCAGAGACAAAAAGCTCTTCTGCTTCTGGATATCATATTCTCCCTATGTTTTATTCGTAAAGTCTGAAGCAGTAGAAGTAAGTAATTTATTTATCAGTGCATACCTTTTTAACTATTATTCTCTTATGCCTGACAATAAACCTAAATATTAATAAAATAAAATATATATGAAAAATATCAAGCTTAATATTATACGCTTTATTTCTCTCTGTGCTACTCCCGAGTGAAAGCTACTATTTCTTACCAGCAATTTTATGATGTACTAATGCTCACGAGGTTACAGAAAAGTGATTCAATAATATCCCAGGTAGCACAGCAACGTCGTAACGACGTTGCAAACTCGTTGCAAATACGTTCCAATATGTCGTCTTTAAGACGCCCAGATGTCCGCGAACATCCATTGTTTTGCAACCATTGCAAAGACGTCTTTATTACGTCTTTGCACATGAAGTTTTTGTCGCATAGACGTCGTTATTGCGTCTTTCGCAGGTGATATTTTGGTTGTGAAAGCACCGTATCACGACGTCTGAAAGACGCCTAAATGTTCGCAAAATTCCACCTCTTTCTAACAGTTGTGAAAATGTCGTTATTATGTCCTTGTGTTACATATTGATTTATGCAGAAAAATAAGCTTAATAATTAATATATTTTTCTTCTTTTTTAAAATTTTGTATTCCTTGTATTTATCTAAAGTTTAAATATTTTATCATTTCCTGAAAACCATAAGATAATACAATTTTTTTTCTCTTTAGACTAAATATGCATAATTAATAATAGCCTTGATTATTTTCAGTACTTTAAACGTATATTTATTAAATAACTTGAATTCTAAGTTACGATTATTTAAGATTTCATCATTTTCCCCTTAAGTGAGAGTAATTATGAAAGTGGTTATTATAAATATATAACATTAATAGTAGGTTTTAAGTAAATAAAACTCAATTAGACATAAATAAAAGTAAATATATGTGAGTAAAAAACAGAGCGTTTCTGATAACTGTATTATCACTTTTATTTCTGGTCAAATCACGGAGACATTAAAAATTGCCCCTGTCATGATAAATTAGGAAGCGGTTCTTAAGGTAACATAATAAGTAATTTACCTGACTCAAGTATAATTAAATTTATTCCCATTTCACAGTAAAAAAATATAACCATTACCTTCTATATCTCCAAGATATGCAAATTAAAGACAGTATAAAGTAGTTAATAAATGTGATCAAAAATATACCTAAATCTAATAACTTCCCATATTCATATGTAAAATGAAATAAAAACCTAACAAACAACATACATGACAGCACTATTTAAGAAAAAACATGAACTAGTAGTGTTTGAAAGTATAAATAGCAGAAGGAAGGTAACATAACTAAAATTTCTAATTAATAAAAAAATTATTTGTGTTTTTAAATAGTAAGCAATTAAAAGTGAAATAATTATGGATTGCAGTATTTACTAGTAATACTGATGTTTCTTAACACCATTTATTTCGATCATATGTTAATGTATTTATTTTTAGTTCCTACATTTTAGAGTAGTGGTAGATTACAGTGATTATTTCATGCACTTTTTATAATCAAAAACTTTTCTTTTGTTACTGTACAGAAATAATTTAAATAATATAGTATATGATAGTAAGTTAAGTACGTTAAATAGCACACGATGAAAAAATAAAACCGACTTTCCAACATTCATTTATTGAGATAAATATACCTAATTTCCAACATTAATTTATTGAGATAATCTAATAAACATACAATAAGGGCAATATTTAAAAAAACGGTTAGTTTAACAAGAGATGTCCTGACCAGCATATTCATAATCTGGAATCCCATTTTATTTAATTCGTTCCTAATATATAATGAAATATGGGTAATTAAGGCTCTTTTTCAATATCTAGGTAGTAATTAGAAACTTTCTCCGTGTCCAAGAGATTTTTGTTTTCTGTGGTTCAATCACTTGATGATTTATTTTCGCAGAAATATTGCCCACTTTTAGAGATGCTCGTCATGGAGAGGTTCCACTATATTTATTACTAATATTTATACGCTGTGTTGCTGCAGTTGTGCCCAATAAGCAAATTTCGAAGAATAGTATTAAACATTTGAAAGAAGCATACTTGTTCTGATCGTGGAAAAAATTCTTTTTTTGTTTCAACCAGTGTCGTTTTACTGTTAGAAAACTATTTAAGTTTTCAGACATTCCATAAATAATCTTAAATATATATTTTATTGAATAATTTGTTATTAAATAATTATCTTTTGTCAATTTTTTCGGAAGTTATATTTTCGTCCACGTGTTTAGATTATTCGACATTTTTAAAAGAGAATCCATTTATAGCTCTTCAAATTATTTCACTGTGTGTTTGCCAAGTATAATGTATAGCTACAATAAAATTTCAGAGATTCTTTTAGATAACCCATAACTTTGCAAGTGCCGCAGAACCTTTTACACCTTGATCCGAAGACCTGATGAGCTCTCTCAAACATATATCAGAAAGCACAAATATTTGATTATGGAATTACTTCTCATTACATAAACATCTTTATAAACATGGTGCTGGCAAAAATCGTTCTATTACAATTAAAAAATCTCCGGAATATTTATCGAATACGGGACATTTTCCAGGATATATGCTAGAGCGGGATATAGATGGAAATGCGAAACTGTCCAGTACAATCCGACACATCTTATCATTTTTAAATTCGTCCAAACTTAAAATTAAACTAGAGTACTGTTCTTTTGCTTATAATTTTCGTAATGCATTTTAATTATATATGTGATTTTTTTTTCAAATGTATATATTCTAAGATTAATCAAATTCATTAAAATGTTTGCTCTCTAGAGAAAATTAGAGCTCTCAGAATTCGAAATTACACTTAATAGTTACATTTTAAAGGTATATTTTCAATTGTAATTCAATCTATAATTTTAGGAATTAATATCCGGTACGAAAATGATACAGAAAAGTTGGAACTACGACTGGCTTCATCCTTGGCTAGGAACCGGACTTCTGACCAGGTAAGCTTACGTAAAGCACTAAAACCAAATATCTTTAGTATAAGCCAAAACATTTTCATATTTATTAATTTGTTGCTAATATTTAAAGGGAATTTTAATTAATAAAATTTATTTTCTTAAAAATATGACAGATAACTCAAATTTTAAAAGCAGTAAGTAATATTAAATACTTTAAAATTACGATAAATCTTCTATTGTGAAATGCCATCAATTGTAATATGCATACTTGAAGTTCGGTTAGATCATCTAAAGAAGGCATTAATTTATGAGAAAATCAATTAAATGAATTAAACCTCTAGGGACATATAACTAATATTTTTGTCATTCAATTTTGTTTAATTGTAAAAATCACCAGTACATTATTCAAGGTATATATAATTTCAATACTTCCATCAGGTCCTCCATCAGAACATCAGAATTGCGTACTTCTAAAATATTTGTATCATTAATATAGTTAATTTCTCACAAATCTGAATCTTGGGAACAGTTTTCATTATTCCCCAATATTATCCATATAATTGGTAATTTATACATAAACAATTGTTTAAATTTTAAATTAAATATAAAAATTTTTGCACTTCCTTTAAAATAAAATGCACTATTATTTCTGGGGTTAAATTTCAGGCTATTGATATTCACTCAGTCAGTTTTGATCTTTCATTATTTTCCCAAAGCTGTCAGCAAAATTTGTATCATTCAAATTTAATCAAGTGTTTGCAAATCGATAGATGTGCAATCAGGAATTCAAAAACATTCAGGATGATTTAGCACAATTTTATCCCTGATCTTTTCAGATAAACTTCCAGATGTTTATTTCATCCAGATTACCCAGTCTTCTATAAGTTTTTATACTATTTTATTAGTGGGCGAGGGCAGTAATATTTTTAGAGAACCTACTTCTCTAAAGCCCCTTGGGCTAAAAAGCCACAGAAATTCAATAGAATTCAGAAAACTTCGTACAAATGCAAAATCATTATAATATTCGGATGTGGTTTACACGAAGTGAGTTTATCCGAGAGTTTTAAGGTTTTTTTTTTTTTTTTTTTTTTTTTTTTTTTTTCAAATTCAATCGGTTACATTATGTCTAAAAGCAGTCGGCTAAGACTAACAGTTAATTAGCTTCGAATAAATTCAGTTTAATCATAAGATTTATGATACTTGAACTCAGTTAACAGAATTTACTAAAATAACAGATTTATTAAAACAAGCATCATATATCCCGGGTAAGTGCAAAGACGATGATAAAATTGATAAAATCTTTTACCTGCTCAAGAGTTCTATTTTAGGCCCTGTTATAAAACTCTGGGCACCATTTGAGGATCGAACTAGAAGTTTATCTCTGTAAACAAATGTTCTTAAAACTGAAAACTGTTCGGAGACATTAATTAATTCCAAATTCTACCAAACTATGAGATTCTTGTCATTTAGTCTTAGCCGACTGATTTTGGCCATAATCTGATCGATTGGATTTGAAACAAAAGCAACTTAAAAACTTTCGGAAAAACTCACTTCGTGTAAACCACATAAGAATATTATAATTATTTTGCACCTGTACGACGTTTTCTGCATTCTATTGGACTTCTGTGGCTTTTTAGCCCAAGGGGCGTTAGCGCAGTAGGGAAATTAGTCTCAAAAGACATTTTGCGCGGATTCGCTATAAATGTCCGTTTCACTTTTCAAATTATTGCCACCAAATATTATCGCTCTGTGTTACATTTAAAGAAATTAATGAAGAATCTGCGTGAATGTATCTTTCTCGCATTGTGAAAAAGCAACGGTACCTAGAGCCATCCAATTGTGAATAATATAGTCCTCCACCCGAACATTGGCATTTGGAAACACGAATTTTGAATTTGTTTTATTGTCTATTTCATATTTTGTAAATATTAAATAAATTTTCATTAAAAAACTCAATTATTTCAAAGCCAGCAGTGGCAACACTATAAGGAATAAAACATTATTATCTCCAGTGCGCGAGACTGTCTATCGGAAATTCTGAAGATATGCTGTTTTTAAATATTTTTAGCCCAATGTGGCATTAGCGAAAATACTTTCGAAACGTGCATATGTAAACCTGAGAGCTTTCAGAATTTGTTCATTGTCCTTTGTTTATTTTGTTAATTGTTTTTAACGTAATAAATCTTATCTTGCTCCTGGAAAGTTGGCATTTGCGCATAGATTTAAATAAATGTTTGATTTTTATGACCCTTGCTTTCTTTCCTTTGCATTTCATACCACAGTTTGATGCATATTACTTTCTTGGGAAAAGATGACCGGTTATACAGTCATTGTTCTTACTAATTTTTTGGTCATAATAATCATATGCATAATGTACATAGAAATGTTATAAAGAAATTTAAAAACCTATTCTAAATTATAAAAATTCAAATATTTAGATTTAAATGTTGAATTGCATAAATCTATGTAAATTATTCTTCTATATTTTACTGATTACATTTGACACTTCCATTTTATTTTTCTATTGTAGTTATGGCCCGAAGTGGAAATCTCGTCGCAGGTTATTAACGCCATCTTTCCATTTTGAAATCTTGAAGGATTTTTTGCCCGTCTTCAACGAGCAATCGCAAATCCTCGTAAAAATTCTAGAAAAAGAGACAAAAAAGCCATGGACTGATGTTACCATGCCCATGACGTTATGCAGTCTTGATATTATATGCGGTAAGAACAATTTCTACAAAACTGAGCGGTTAGAATCATTCCACCTGTTCTTCAAATAATAACAAGTATGTCCCAAAATTAAACTATTAAATTTTGTGACATTATTTATATTTTTACGCATAAATTAGAAGGATTCTATACAAAAGTTAAAGTAACCTTTGCTATTTAAATTGAACTTTTTTACTTACTTACTCACCACCAGTTGAGTTGCTGTGCTTCCAGTTATATGACTACCAGCATTCACACTCAAATGGTGGAACATTCTATTGTCGCTAAGCGCAGCCAAAAAGCTCTATGGGAATCAAAATTTGTACCCGAATTTACAAAGTTGCATCGCAAAATGTGTATTTGCGACCTGTGGTTATTAAATAGACCTTGTCAAGACTTTGACTGTGCTGAATGATGATTTTAGCAATATTTTATGCATTATAGTTCTTAACTTACGGAGAATGTTTGCTCTAATTCAAGTAAGTCAGTGGTAATTTGGGTATAAGAAGTTATTCAGGTACATTTTATACTGAACAATATCAACTGGGTATATTAATTGAACATTTTTAACATAAAAGCCACAACTTATGCTACAGACATCTCACCTGTAACTGTAAACTTACGCTACACTTGCGGGGATGTAAATTAAGCAATACGAGGCAACTCAATTCGAACGCTGATAACGTAGTCTAAGGCTGCACAATCGGATTAGTACACTATAGGCTGTTTCATTTAATTTTACCCACGCGTAAGTTTAAAGTATTGGCTAGCAAAAGAATGCAAAATTCGAAATAATCACTTTTAGTCAGAGCTAGAGAGGAATTCTAAGAGCGCAAAGTGAATGCCAGAAAATCTCTCTCTAAAATTAAAAATCCCCGGCTTATATACTCTGAAAGCTATTTTCGATTCTGATGACGAATGCGGAAAGAAGAAGCTGTAGTACAAATCAAACTCATAATAACTGGTTAGTTAACATAAGAACATACCTTAAACATGAGATTTTCAAACTTGCATTGTACTTACAAGATGCTAAAATTATTGAATGCTTCTTAGCCATATTATCTACTACAAAATATCGTGTTCTCTGGTACCAACAAACATACGAAACCTCTAAGAACTTAAATGAGTTATCACTATGTCTTGTCAAGTATCATAAAGACTGAGAAAGGGTGTAAGAGACCCTTTTGCTTAACTTAAAGTTAACAGAAGTGGCGTAGCTAGGGTGGGGAAAGGGGGCGACATGTGTCGCCGGGCGCAGCATCCAAGGGCCGCCAAATTGATGTGATGAAATTGCAGAATGAAATGTTTTCCATTCTTGGTACACAGAATAAGGCGCAAAATCTTCAGTTGTCCCCGGGCGCTGAAAACCTTAGCTACGCCTCTGAACAGAAGGCACCGCTTGTGATAACAAAAGTAGCCAACATTTATGGCTTAAATTATAAATATGGAATTTGACTTAATTAAGAAAATGTGAATTAGCCCAATGGCTAACACAGATAAAGAACGCGAAAGGATCTGACCAAGTCATGGATCTGACCAAGTCATGTGGCAAGCCTAATGATGAGAATAACGCAATGCTGCAGAAACACAGTTGTCATGAGAATCAAAATTAGCAACGGTGTCATCAGTAGGAGGAACACGCTCAATTTCTACTCTCTAAAACTCGTTTCTATGCTACTGCGTTTTGCGCTCTGATTCTACGTTACCTTCCTTTAAATATTCCCTCCTTTCTACTTCATTTGAATACACACGAACTAGAAATTTATATTCTGGTAGGAAAATGGGAAACAAGAAGAACATAAAATAACTGGCTAATAAACTAAACGAAACCTTGTACCTCAATAGTTTAAGAACAGAGCCCATTATGCCAGAATCACCAAGAAAAATTTTTTATTCAGATTTCTCAGTCTATTAATGAGGCTTGGTTTCCTAATACATAACTATTATAAAAATAAATGAACTAGTTTGCGTTTTTTCTCAATTTTGATTTTCTCGCACGAATTTTTCAACAACGTAATTAATTCGCCGCACTATGCTATCAAAAATTTAGCGAACTGTGACCCAGCAGAGGTAAACGACCACGATTTATTCACCACAATCCAAAGTGATGAATATGTAAATACTGTAAATATTTTGTAAATATTTTTCAAATTTCTTGCATTTACTCGCTTTTAATCGCATTTATTCATTTAACCAAGTATCGACTTAGTGTTGTGTTTTGTGTTCGTATGTTTATCATCTTATTTGCATTTGGCAAAGCATCGGACTATTGTGAACTTTAAAGACTTTATTAGCCGATTATGGACTTTGTAATATTTTCTTAAAAACTGTGTTATCAAATTAAAATGTGTTTCTGCGATTGGTTCATATGACCATCACGCCCACTTTTATTGGTTCTACAGATTTACTAATTTTCTAAAGTTTTTCCAACTTTGTATTTAAACTCAAGAAATACTTCCCGCTAGTGACTCCTTCACGTATTTAATTGCTATCAAAGGATTATGGACTCTTTTGAATTGATTAAAAATGAATTACTACTTTTGTATGTTCTGCCAATCAGAGTACGACTCTCAGTCACATGTACTTTAGCTACTCTTACGTATCCATGCTCATTCTCAGTCGACGAAGTTCCTCAGTATGATAAACTGCTCCAGCACCTGTTTTACTGTGAATTAATTCATCTATAAAGAATATCTTCCCCGTATGACTTGCCACCTCTTCAATTTCGCCTGTTTCGGGCGCAGTGCTAAGACACCTTAACTGAATTTAATTAAAAGTGAGCGGCCTCCGGCCTTACTTGAACTATAGGCTAAAACTCATACGTAGTTGAAACCTAGATAATGAAAAGGATGATCTTGATCTTGCGTTTTTTTCTCAACAAGAGAGGAAAGGATAAGGTTACAAGCTATAATCTGTAAAGTAGAAATAATATATAATATACTATTTATGCAGATGGTTAAAAGGGTCACAAACATAAGGTGAAAAATTTAGGAGCTGATATGATTATCAAACAATTTTTCAGTATTTTTAGACTCAGATAGGTACATCTGTAACTTTCTACACCTGCTTGTGAAATATCAGACGATTTCAAGGGCAAGGTCACGTTGAGCTGTTCTTTTTGTAACTCCAGCAGGTAGTGATTTCACGAAGGTTGTCTGCGTCCTAGATGATTTTTCTGACATTGCAGATTATAAACGAGTTATTACTTCGACACCATATTTTGAATTAGCTGACGCAGGATATATTTTGGGGTTAAACTTCAAGAAATGTTTACAGATCATACCGATTTAGAAATTTCCAGTTTTATCAGAAATTTGGAAGAAATAAGACACTTTGTTACCAACGTTGCAACTCTTTATTTCTAATCTCTTGCATGATTTGCATACTTGATATCATAGCTGCTCGTGGGGTGCGTGATGCAGAACGGGGCTAAATTTCATAGATTACAGAGATAATATTACTAAGAAATAACTGTTTTACAAGGTAAAATTATGCTTTACGCTTTTCCTTTTCAACACTAATAATGCCTTTGATGATAATGAATGCTTTCCCTCTTCCTATTCTACCGGACCGACATAAAATTTTGTTTCATAAATCTTCCTTCTGCAAAATGACATTTAAATGTACTCAATAACATCATTATTTGACATATGATATTGATATTTGAAAATAGGTATCCTATTAAGATAGAATTGCTTTAATAGTCCAAAGGGGCTTTTTCCCTGAGGGTCTATTGTTTTAGTTTTGCGATTTTGCGTCGAATCACTCTGAATGTTCGTTTCACTTTTCAGCATGTTGCCACCAAATAGTATCGCCCTTTATTATATTCGAAGAAATTAGATAATGAAGAATCTGCATAAATGTATGTATGTTTCTCGCATTGTGAAAAAACAATGGTACCTAGAGCCATCACAGTTTGAATGATGTAATCCTACTGCGAATATGGTCATCGGGAAGCCAAAATTTGAAATTTGTTTTATTATCGATTTCATATTTTGTAAACCTTGAACGAATTTTTGATTAAGAAACTCAAGGCTTTCAAAGCGAGCAAGGGTAACGTTGTACAGAAAAAGTATTTTTATATCCACTGCGTGAGACTGCGTATCGGAAATTCTAAAGATATGCTCAGTTTAAAATTATTTTGCGATATTGTTCTTGGGCTGAATTTTATGGTTTAAGTTCGAAGAACAAGATATTTAATAAATAAAGGTAAAGCACAAAATTAAAAAATGCCCCTTTGGATGTAATTTAAAATCTGAAACCTTTCAAATATTCTTTTCTTTGCTTCCCTTCCCCCCTTATTTTTTCCCGCAGTGAATTGAGTTCATAAATTGAGGTAAATCGAGCTTCTTCATTGCTTCATTTAAACCTTCCATGAAAACTACCCACCTACCTTAATCATATTTTTTTTTTTTGTGTATCATGAAATCATAGCAATAAACACTCAAAGAAAATCATAGCTAAGCTTTAGTTATTATTTCATTACAGTTAAATTACCGTAATTAATTAGATACTTTTTTTGTATTTTACATTAGAGACTACACTGGGAGTTTCCATATCAGCTCAACAAAACAGTGATTCTCAATACGTGAAGTCCGTCCTCAGGTAAACTACGCTGTTTTGTTTACTTTCGACAATTAAATGAAATTTAGGGAAAAAATGCGCAGTTTATTTTGTATGCTCTCAAATTTTCAAACTTTTAAGAATTTTCACATAATTTTTTTAAATAAATATTTATTTCATTTCTGCAATATTTTAATTCTATCCTATTCTATTAAGCATATGTTTAGATTGTAATTTTATTTAAAACGTGTTAAACTATGTATCGACTAACGATTAATAGATGAATTTTTATGGTTCTATAATTCACATAGGAAAACTAGGGATATATATGGGAGTAGTAAGTTCAATGGAATTAAGAAATTTGGAAAATTTAGTTTTAAAGTAGCAAGAATTTACTAAATAGAATTAGCTTGCAGTATGTAAATAAGAGAAAATCCATAGGTAGCCAGCTCCTTTGTTGGAGGGCGATAAAAATAGCAAAGCTAAGAAGATGTCAAATCCTTCACTTTAAGGTAATTTATGTAAATCTTGTTGGAATGAATTAGTTTACTGAAATGAATGTTGTTAATGAACTGAATGTTGCTAAAATGAATTCAGTCGTATTTTCTTTCTGTTACGTATGATCAGGAAAAGAAAAGGATTATACATGTTATACATTAGTCTTCTGTGTATTCCTTTTTTAGTTGCTGCCTCAGTTGAGTAAATTGAGATGTTGTTTATAATTTGACAAACAGATGGTAATTTAATGTTACAAAATCTTCAGAAGCTCAAGAAAATGCGAATTTTGTATTTTTATTCTTAGCATTCATTAATGTATAAGGTATTTCTCCCGCCTTCATGACATGCCTTCGTGGTGTGGTGGTCTGCACGCTGGGCCGGTATTCCAGAGTTCCGTGGTTCGATTCCTGTAGAAGGCATTTGCTCATTTTTCATCTTGCCCGCTTCCGAAAATACCTAATATCTCTACAAATGTTTTAAAAAATTTAAATATATCTCAAAAGGGAAATATGTTACTTTAGTTCCAGAAAACTTTTAATCTAACCTGCCCTGAAACAATACGTTTGACCGAAGCAAGATTAATGTAAAACCCCTAAATGTTTTATTTTCTTTTTACTTTTTTAATATTAGTTTATTCTTTTTTTGGGGATGTATTTAGTACTAAAAATTAAAGATTAAATCCCAGATAAATCATTCTGGTTTCTGTCAAAAATATGCACAAGTCCTTCCCTACAATAGCATAGAGTTCATTGATACAATAGTATATCTTTCATTACAAATTTCCTAAAACATAGTGACGATACTATACCATTTCCTTATTAAAAAACGCTAGTTTTATTAAAACCACAAAAGCTTTCCTTTAACAAGCTATGCAAACAAGCTGTTCGATGCGATTTTAAATGCGATTGTCAAATAGTACCCACTGGAAATCAAAACACCAAATTTCGTAACAGAAAAGGACCAATATTTTTTGTAATATTGCATTTTGTAAAATTTTCTGTTCGGCAAATAACAATATACAGAAAGAAATCTTCAAAATTAATAATCAAAACAGTTTGAAGCTGGCTCCATAATTTGGATAGAATATGAAATATTTTTTCTCATAATTAATATTTAAATTTTTGTAATATTATTTTTGCTACTTTAGAACATCGGAAATTCTTATGGAAAGGATGTTGAATCCACTATATTGGGTAGAATGGATTTTTGGATTTACAAAAAGGGGCAGACAGTTCAGAAGTGATTTAAAGCTCTTGCACAACTTTACAAGAACAGTAAGAATGTCCATTTACTTTCATATCTCATATTTTTAGAATAATGTTTGCAAAGTATAAGGCATATAATATTTTCTTTCACGTAAAGTTAATAATATCCTTTAAATAAGGAACTTATAAAGAAGCAGGTAATTTTATCTTCCGCTTTTCGATTTCAGTATAGGTATTTACAGTGTATTCCGGCGTATAACACGTACTTTTAATACAAAAAATAAGATCGAAATTTACGGATGTTTGTTTACGCCGCATATTAAAGTGAGAGGAAAGGTGAGGATAAACAAATTAGATTTCTACCTGTACCATGATGCTGTTCATTTAAAAGCAATGACTTGCCTTAAGAACTTAAACAATTGTCTTTATTGGATAACTTGAAAAATTCGTCATATTCGACTTCCGTTATATCTTCAGGCACGTCATCCAGTTCTGTTTCATCTTTACCATCATTGTTCTTCTGATCCGTTAATAAGTAATCATACTCGATTCTATCTGCATATTGTTATACATACTGCATTTTTAAATGGATTTTGAATTATTTTGTGTTTTATTTCATTTCATACTTTTATTATACACTCGCATACTATTTCTAGACTGGTCTGACGCATTTCGCCTCCTTTTTATGAACGTTTTTTCACTTTGTAACATCCACATATTCCACTGTCATTTTAAATTTCCCTTGAGTGCTTTATTGACACACACATCTACAGGATGAATTGAGTTTATAACTGCCGTATCTGGGTTACACTCTTCAATTTCTTCGTATTATCCGTTAGATGGGATCTGAACATGTCCAAAACTAAAAGATTTTCTGAATTCTTTAAGTCTGGTTTGGTTTGGCAAATTTGATTATGGTAAAACACACGAGGACTATCTACTTAAGAGAAGGGACACCTTCGTGGAAACCTTTCTAAGAGAAACCGATTCGTATATACGTTAAACATGGGAAAAACAACGAAAACACCCATGCAGTCAACCCGTTCGCCGGGATTTGAACCCTGGTCCGAACTGGCACGGTTCAGCGATATTACAGGACGTTTCTGCCAAACATTTTTTATCCACAATTTCTTATTGTTTTCGTCCATTTGGGAAATTATATTTAGGCATCATCTTTGTTTTAAAAAAATCATAGGTTTTAATTTTTTACCGTTCGCTAAGCAGGAAAGCACTACGGTGAGGTGAGATTTTCATGACCTGTAGTTTCATCCATATTTTCAATTTGTGGCAGTAAGTGTTTTTTTTTTCGGGGGGGGGCCTTTGCAAGTCAGTAACATATTTCTGAAAACTTATGTATTTGTTGTCCAAATCTTTCGGAAGCCTTTGTGAAACTGTTTACTTTTGCCCTCGTGGAACTAAATTATTCCGGGCCATAAATCGACTGCACCCATTCCAAGTTGCTTTAAAGCTTTCACTTTTCTTCTAAGATACACCAGTTCGTACTCCTTTAGGCAAAGCACATCTGTTCTTTGGCATATAAATTATTGTAATTTCATATTTTTCTTCTCCTCTGTTCTGAAGCTTTCACAGACCAGACATCCTTGTTGAAGCAAGATTTGCATTTTGCATTGAAACCGAGTCACCTGGACGATGTAAAATGCCTCAGTGTATCGGCGGACTTGCCGTCAGTGGAAAGATAGAAAAGCACATTTTTTCTCATATAAAAGATAAATAACATTTTAGGACTTGCCAATCAGTTTGTAATTTTAAAAACTAAATTATTAAATGCTATGTATTCATTACTCACCACTGAATGTTTTTATTTATTAGAAATAAGTGAAGTTTTAATAATTATTTCTTGCTAATATCAATTAAATGGAAGTATTAGCCATGTATTTAAAATCTGTCCAATGGCTGCATGAAAGTACACATGCTTTTATTAGTTACATAAAATAAATGTGTATGAAATTTGTGATTTTTTTTATATTATATCTGCTCTCGTTATTAAAATGATCGTATTTATTCTTTTCTAAACTATTTATTTGTTAAGGTCATTCAAGAAAAGAAAAAGAAACTTTTATGTGGAGACGCTGAAATTACTAAAAGGAAAAGGAAAGCATTCTTGGATTTGTTGCTAGAACATCACTTAGAAACAAAGAGCCTTAGCGAGGAAGATATTAGAGAAGAGGTTGATACATTCACTTTTGCGGTAAAATGAAATTTTTAATCTTCAACATCTAAAGAGTGAGTTCAAACTGCGACCTTACTTCATAATAAAATATGATCTAATGTTCTAGCCGAGGGAAATTTTTTACTTTAGTGAACTACTTTTATGTTAGAAAAAAGCAGAAACAATAAAACTGCTAAAACATTATTCCATAGATTATCATTTTCGCACACTATAATCCCTATTAAAAAGACGAGTATGTTAGGGAGAAAAGGGGTGTTACCTGTAATTCGTTGGTACTAAAGTTACGCGGTTGGTGTTACGCGGTAATCCACTTTACATTTAATAAACATTCTTAGAATCAGTTAACTCTATCAATGCAAATTCACACTCAGTAAAACTAAACCTGAAAAACAAAAAAGAATAAATCTTCGCTGGTAACAGACAATGCTATCTCTCTACTAATCCATTACTTCAATTCACATAAACTACATATTCAATCAATTTCTAAATTAACGCAAGAGCAACAAAGTTCAGTTTCATTAATTCAAATCGTCACAAACGTGAGAGAAGAAATATTCATTTTACAATATGTCATTTTCTCATAAATTAAAAAATCAAGAGTTTAAATACTTCCTCGGCACCTACGTATGCTTATGTTATTTCACTTTTTAGGTATTTTATTTAAATTGAAATTGTAAAGAGTTTAGTAGATATATATATATATAGCAGTTAAAATCTTTAGCTCTATTTATTTTCAATTTTCCTAACAAAGATAGGGAGCATTTCTTTCTGAATATTTAGATGGAAACGACTTCTTTGTTTTTCTCAACAAACCGAGAAGTCTTTCGCGTCGCGCGAGTTTAGTTTACTGGGTGGTAAGGTAAAGGAAGATTTAATTGGCGTCTTTGCTTCACTTTTCTTTGTGAATGCTGAAGGTGTTGAATAAATGAGTTTCTTTCCGACGGAAGGGCGTCTGTAAATTTCTTATTTTAAGAGCAGCTGTGATTTCTATCTTTTGTTGTTTTTCAGCTTGTTAGCTGGGGTCGAATTTGGTTTCTCACGAGTTGAGTGACTTACGACGCGTTGGGTGACTTCTGACGCGTTGGGTGAAATCTGGAACCAAGCTGAGGTCTTTGTGATGCGTCTCTATTTCTATTTGTCAAAGGGAGTGAAGTTATAACAACAAAATAAAAAAGAGAAAATTTTGGGTTGGTCAAGTTTAATTTTATGTGTAATTTTTTGATGTAGGAAAAAATGTCACCCGGAAAATAAGTAAGGGAAAGAACGGCACCGGAAAATTAGGAAACGGAAAATAAGTCACCCTGCGTTTGCAATGGGAAATATAAGGCATATTTAGAAAGATCGTGAAGCTAGCGCAATGTTGCAAATGCGGAGAGAATCACCGTACCAGTGAATGCAAATTAAAGGATAAACAAACTCCCAAATGTGTTTTCTGTGGGCAATCTCGTGTTAGTTCCTTCACTGGATGTATTGAATATCAACAGAGACTAGCAGAAATTAATCGTAAAAAGACCCAGAAGCTTAATATTCAAAACGCTATTAAGAAAGAACAACCGCAGATGTCGACTGAAAATTTGGAAAACTTCCATCCTCTTACCCAAGAAACCGAAGCCAGAATAATTCGGTTAAAAACGCAAGCAACAATAGAAGACTCCAGAACAAGTTCCCAGATACAAATACTTTTGAAAACATCCAAAATACGCTTGAGAATGAAGGAATTTTATCTCTTCTCCGTAAACTCATGAACCTAATCCAAAGACTAAAAAATGCGAAAACTATGATAGATAAATTAACAATCGGATTCTAAGCATTGCAGTATATATTGATGTTAACTGAAACAGAAGAAGATTACGTTTTCATCTTCTTATTATGAAGATATTTGCTCCTTCCCGCCCGAACTTTTCTAAGTCAAAATTTTTCCATCTTCCAACTTTCGCACGAAGAGTATAAGCACCAGCTTCGCCTGTCGGCGTGGAGGTATCTCCTTTGTAACATCTATTTACCAAGCCTATGGCACATAATCATGACAGGCAGTAAAAGTGGAGTTCGACCAAAGGCCTCCTTAGCCAGGATCATTATTACTGACCAAAGGCCAAGCTGGGTGATAAAAGTTTATCTCAACAACTGTCTCAATTACCGGAAACATGTGCGAGTAAAAGCAAGAAGATATACCAGATCCTGACTTCTCCGTTATGGTAAAAATCATGGAGGTAAGAAAGGAAGGAGTGGCCAAACCGGCACTACAAGTGAAGCACTGCTCCCAAGCTGCGGTCACCAGATGGGGTGTTTTTTGTTTACATACAGAAGCTCGCTTGACTGCGCTCTGATAATATTTCGACACACGGCAGTTCAATACAAATCGAAAAACGGGACTCTTCAGCATAAAAGAAACTTTCATACTGTGATGGATAATAGCAATTTGTATAGTTTAGTGACATTTACGCAAAAATCACATCTTGGTTATTTTTCGATAACTAACAACAGCGATTTTGATCGTGATTGGATTGAATTATTTAAATATAGCAAAGCACACGAGGGCTATCTGCCTAAAGGGAGGGATGCCTTCGTGGAGGACTTTCTAAGGGAAACTGGCTCGTATACATGTTACACATGGGGAAAACCACGAAACGCCCCTGCAGCCAGCCCGTTCGCAGGATTCGAACCTCGGACCGAACTACCAGTGTTCAGCGTTTTTACCGCTCGGCCGCTGGTGGGCCTCTCTTTCGGACGGAAGAGCGTCTGTAAATATCTTGTTTTAAGGACAGCCTGTGATTCCTATATTTTGTTGTTTTTCCGCTTGTTAGCCGATGTCCAATTTGGTTTCTCATGCGTTGGGTGACTAACTGGTTACAGATATCAGCTGAGGTCTTTGTGATGTATCTATTTCTATTTGTCAACGGGAGTGAAGTTTTAACAACAAAATAAAAAGAGAAATTATGCGGTTGGTCAAGTTTAACTTCATATGTAATTTTTCGGCCTAAGTGGGTGGAGAAACCGAATTTTCTTCGAGGCTTGTGCGGGTGTTTAAGCCAATGAGATGGTTTTGAGTTTTTGTCGTGGTAAAATTCGGTTAGGGGGCGTTTTCCCTGCTGCGGGTTATCTGCGCAAGTGGGCTTATTATGCGTTATCTTTACTACTAAAGGAGCATTTTTCTGCAAGATGATTAAAATATTTTTTCCAACGTTGGGTACTTGCCTATAACGGCATTGTCCACTACTAAGCCCAGAAGTGGTCGCCACTTTGTAGAGGCACCTAATAGGCGATGATTAAAAATATTGTACGAGCTGCAGTTTGCACATTTTTAAAAGAGCCTTTTTCTGCGAGCTGATTAAAATTTAGTGCTAGAAGTAAAGAGCTCTTTACCGAGAAAATTTGCACGGATTTTCCACTCTTCACCAGAATTTCCGGACAATCTCTTCCGAACACGAAAAATGGACATTCCCGAAGTGGTTCCTGTCATACGGACGTTAGAGATAGAAGTATTTGTCACTGGTATCGGGCACCTGCGCTTCCTGACTCAGACGTGTTCCAGATACAAGTATTTGTCATTAGTATCCAGCACCTGCGATTCCTGACACAGGGAAGTTCCAGACACAAATATTTTGTGAGTTTGTGGTATATATTATTCCTGAAAATAACGGGCTCTTCTGAAAGTATTTTTACCTGAAAAATAGTATTCGCCCTTTTTCCAGGAATTCGTGTACAGAATGGACTTCAACGTGAAAGTGATGGTTTATCTTCATTTTAAGCTGTTGTTTCAAGGAAATTGTACACTCCCTAAGGATTGTCGTTTCGAAAAACAGACTCCCTTTTGTGAGTGATGATTTAATTTTTGTTCTTCTCTGTCTTCTCTAATTCCATAGTAGACTAAGTAATATTCATTTACTTTATATATGTAAAAAAAGAAGTAATTAGAAAATTTTAAGTAATAACCAGTTATTTTAAGGTCTGTAAATGAAGAATGAAGGATTAAAGATTTTTTTCACCAACTTAATTTGCAAGCCATGGAATGCTAAAATTTTTAAACATACTATATGGCTAACTTTCCTTACAGCTGCCCTTAAGACTGTTTTCACAGCTGTCTTTAAAATAAGAAATTTACAGAAGCCCTCATTTATTCAGCACCTTCAGCATTCACAAAGAAAAGTGAAGCAGCTGAGCCAATTAAATCTTCCTTTACTGCCCAGGCAAAAAAAAAAAAAAAAAAAAAAAAAAAAAAAAAAAAAAAAAAAAAATCGCTAGGCGAAAGACCTCTCCGTTATCGTAAATAGTACAATTCACAATCAATTGGGAAGCAGTAAAGAAATCGTTTCCATCCAAATGTTCAGAAGGAAATTCTCCCTATCTTTGTTAGAAAAAACGAACCATTGAAAATTAAATAAAGACTTTAACTGTTACAAATAGATATATCTATCTACTACCACGCTGTTTACAATTTCAATTTAAACAAGATACCTAAATAATGATTAATTAAATAACATAAGCACAATTAAAAATTTACGACACTAAGACCAGAACGCACAGATATACAGGGTTCATAGAAAAGTCCTTTTAACCCGAAAATTCTTGCGAACGAAGAAAGCTACAGTTACGCAAGCGAGCTAAAGGTGTATTAAAGCTATTAAGCCCGACCTAATACAAACGACAGCAGTGCCCCTAGTGGCGAAAAGATAGGCATTGCAAATCGAAAACGAAAAGAGATAGAGCAAAATTCCAAATTAGATAGTTTTAAAGCATCAATTAATTAGTATGAAAAGACATTTGTTCACACGGATAAGATAAATTGTCGACTGCATAGCCAAAGATGTCCGCAATCGATGCTCTCCATTTTGTGCAAACGTTTGAAAGGAATATTAAGAAATGCACACCTATTTTAATCACGAAAAATTCCTATTATTTTCGTAGGTGTTAAGAAATACACACCTTTTTATTGCATAAAATACGTTCGTTCTTACGTCAATACAGTTTGATAACATCACACACAAAAAAGGTACACTCACTTCCAAAAGTTAAGCACGAAGATGTAAAATGCCAAAAAAATCAACAAATACTGCTTTGATTGACAAAAAATTCGACAGGAAAATAGCATATATATTTATGCATAAAACCAAATCAATAATTACATACAGAAATTAAAACAACATTAAATTTTTGTAAGTTATCAGATAATGACATACTGGAGACTTAAACAGAATTATGTATAAAATGAAAATAAACAGCAAAAAATGGAAAAAGAGACATTTAATAGGGTATGTGGCCCCCCCTCATCTGTATACAAAGTTTACACCTTGTGACCACGCTTTCAATTAGGTGGTCAACCACCGCAGAAATAAGAAATCGCCATTCTTCTTGTAGAGCAGTTTCCAGCTTCAATAAGAGTGGCCTGGAGGTGGGAAAAACGTGAAGATACAGCACAGACCTGAGAGCATCCCAAAGATTTTCAATGGGATTAAGGTCGGGTGAATATACTGGCCACGCCATACGCGCAATCTCTTCACTCTCCAGGTAGTCACAGACGATGTCAGCTCTATGGGGATGTGCGTTATCGTCCATTAAAACAAAAGTAGGGCCAACTGCTGCAGCGCACAATCTCATAACGGGTTCTAAGACTTCATCTCGATACCGGACAGCCGTCAAGAACTTTGTTTAAATATGTGTAGGTCCGATGCGGTATCCTAATGAAATCCCTGTCGACACCATAATACTTCCGCCTCGGAATCCGTGATGTTCGGCGATGTTTTGGGACTGATTGCGTGTTCGTTGTTCACGCCATATCCTTATACGCTTGCCATCTGGTTCCAGAGCAAATCTTGACTCATCAGTAAACATGACATTACCCCAGTCAGACACATTCCAATTGACATGTTCCCGGCACCACTGTAATCGTGCCCCTCTTGATTGGACAGATAGAGGAACACAAACTCGAGGTACCTGGGCTTACAGTCCACTCGTATACAATCTTGGGCGTACAGTAGCTGCAGATATCTTGGCCGTACAGTAGCTTACCATAGATGTCACACGTGTGGAGGTCGCTCTGCGATTCCGCTTCACTACAATAGCAATATATCGATCTTCCGCGGGGGTTGTAACCCTTGGGCGACCGGCTACGGGCCTTCGGACAACTGTCTGTGTGGTTTGGAATTGTTTTCCATAAACGTGAAATTACAGTATGATGAACGCCGAAGAAAAGAGCAACATCTGTGATCGCCCACAGCGCTCCACAAGCTTCAATGCGCCCCACAGCGTGCCAGCGCTCAGAATCTTCCATTCGTCTTCTGGAAATCATAGAAACAAATATGTCTTGAAAACAAATTGTACGAAAGTTTGAAACACCTTCTATCAGCACTTACAATCAACTTTTGTAACCCTTCATAAAGCTGGATTCTTATAAGACTGCCTTTTTTGCATATTTCTTGACATGAAAGCGCGATTGGCTGTTACCTAACATATTTGCATACTTCCATCTACCTCTGCAACGAATTGCATCCTCGTCAATTCTGATTGGCTTCCGGAAATTAGCATTTTCCTCTCCGTGCTTAACTTTTCGAGGTGATTGTATGATTAAATTACACGCAATTTTTTTCATTTAAACTTATTTCCTCGAATTTCATAAGAAATTCATAATTTCAACATTCTCATTCAACTAATTCAATTCTCACTTCGCGGCAAGGCAAAAATACAAAAAACTCAAAATATCTTCATTTTTAATTTTGTTAATCTTATTCAATAATTTTTGTTAATCTTTCAGATTTTAACTGAAAGATTTTTAAAAATCTGAAACACCAAATACATCTTAAACAATTTTTAAAGAATTTTACATTTCAAATTACAGTTTCTACGCAAAAAACATTCGGGCAGCAGGCAGATTTTTCGCTGCAAAAAACTAAAAGTTTCCTTTTGGTCCCACTCGGCAAAAAGACACTGAAGGTGCAGAAAGCCTTAATTCACTATTCTGATACGTTTCAAATCTAAACAAGTACAGCTGCTATTGTTAAAAAAAAATAGGCACTTAAACAATTTTTAAACTGTTGATAATTCTACAACTATTGTACGCAGATTAACAAAAGGCATAAACGCTTTAACCGGAAAATAAGAATAACATAATTCAATGATTTTTAAAGCAAAAAATTTATAATTTTCCAACACATAATAACACATAAGAATAAAAGAATTGAGCTCACTGAAACGAGTAACTGATTGGGTGTATATGCATGTACTTTCGGTGCTGCCTATTGCAACCAAAAAGGAAGGTGCACAACTGCATGTTATATCTGTCGTATATAGAAAGTTTTAACATTCTGAGGTTACTCGTTTTTGAGTTATGCGAGATACATACATAGGCACGTACGTACAATTGCCACGAAAAAATCTTATCTGAATCCATTTTAAATCAGATTTATGATTCGTTTGAGAAAAACGAGTGCTTTATCCTGTCCTTACGTACAGATGTCACGCAAAAACATCGTTAAATTGCATTTGATAGCAGTCAAAATGGATATTTCTGTTGTTACCCGGAATTTTTCGTGATTACAATACTTCTTTGCTCCGTACAAGGAAGTAAAAACACCGCAAAAGCAATCTGTCACACTGTGATAGCAAGTTAATTGTTATCTTTCGCCATCGAGATTATAATGAGGTTTGAGATTATGCTGTTTGTATGAAGTGAGAGCCAACACTTTTAAACTAAGATTTTAACGCTTTCAAAATTAAAGTTTTATAGACGTTACAGTATAACACAACATCACAATCAGCATTGCGCACTGCTTACAATTCCGAAATGTGAATATGCAGAGTAGAATTGTGCATCAGTTGCGGACATCTTTGGGTATACAGCAGACAATTTATCTTATCTTTATATCGTTTCGTAACACTAATTGATGGTCTAAAACTTTCTAATTGGCTATTTTACTCTCTCTCTTTTCATTTGCGATTTGCAATCCCTATCTTCCAAATTTCGCCACTAGGGGCGCAGCTGTCGTTTGCATTAGGTTGGCCGTAGTCGCTTTACTGTACCTTTACCTCACTTGCATAGTTGTAGCTCACTCCGTTCTCAAGAATTTTCATGTTAAAGGGGCTTCCCTGTGCATATATATATATATATAAAGAGAGAGTATTAAAACATTTTTTACATAAAATATTTGGGTGAACTGGTATAATTAAATAATTTAGAATGGTTCATCAACTAATTTTGGATTAACAGAAGCACAGTGTTTTTCCAAGGGCAAGGAGTTCATTTGAATCTGATCCACCTCCTCTTGAAAACGCTGAATCAGACTTTGATTCCATTCCTCTCCTTACATAATTTTTGTATTTCTCATATCTATTATTCTTCTGGTTTGGTAACGATTGTTATTTTTTACATCTTTATAGGGAATTTTGGTTTTGAATTTCATTTATTTCAGTATTTGGTTCTAAATTTTTTATTATACATATATAATGTGCTAACAAAACTTCTCTCATCAAATTTTGTTGTGGAAGATATAACAAGACTCTACTGAAAGTCGTAGAAATATTGATCACCACCATATTACCGTATTACTTAAAATTTTCACGGAAGTAAGACTTATTAACTAAATAAATTTTTCGAACTTCTGCGCATTTTTACAAGCATAATGCACAAAGTGTTTAGTATACATAGAGCACGGTCTAGTATTTGCTTTTCTCACTTTGAGGCACATTGATTATTCTCTAATAAATTTTATTCATTTTTATGAAACTTACTGCCCAAGTTCAGTGCACACTGAAATCATAATTCCTTAAATACAATGACTGAATACTCATATAAATAATAAGACTGTCCCTTTCTCCTGTTTGAAAAAAAAATGTACTTGTTAATCAAAGAATATTGTTTTAACATGTAGTTTACCCTTTATTTTCAAAATGTATTTCCTCTATAATTCTTTTAAAAGTAGTATGAGATGAAAAGAAGTTTTTAGGGAAATTTATTTTTAGAATGTTTTTATCATATAATATAAACATTTTAATTTATTTCATGCTAATTTAGGGCCATGACACTACTTCTATGGGTATAAGTTGGGCTTTGTATCTAATAGGACTCCACGAAGATGTCCAAGCAAAATTGCATGAAGAAATGGACAGAATATTTGGGGATGACACTGAGAGACTTGTGACCACAGATGACCTGAAAGATATGAATTACCTCGACTGTGTGCTAAAGGTACGAAACATATGCAATACGTTCAATTACAAAATAAAAAGTACACTGAAAATCGTTTAATACGAAACTGAGGGGACTGAAATATTTTTGCGTGTTAAAAGAGTTTCGTGTTAAAGGATATTAAAAAAACATATATTCAATAAAATTACGTTTATTAGAGTACGTTTTATTTTCACAGATATGTATATATGCATATATTTAATAAAAATCAATGAAACAAAAGCAAAACTTAATGAAATTTAATGCAAAATTTTCAAGTTTTTTGAAAACCAAAACACTTACGGAGTTTTAAAAAATAATCTGATATATTGTCTTTTTTAGCATCCAATCGTGAACAAATTGTTCAATGTTGATCATTTTGCTATTCATTTCACCATTGTTTAGACGCTCATTCTACCATTGGAATGTGTGCCTAAATAAGTGCGCATACTTTTTTTTATGTACCTCATTTCAGATAACGTGGGAACAGGAGCTGCATTATTTATTGCATTTTCGTCGTCGGAATCTGCACTAATGATATTTTTTTAGCTTTTAACAAACTCCAAAACTCCTGTCTTCGTCTGCCTTAACTGGGGCTGTACACACATTATCATCAACTACTGCAACGAATTCTTCCGATAGTACAGTAGGACAGTCCATTAATACAGAAACTTTCTCGAACAGTTCATTAAGTATCGGCTCAGTTTCAATATCCTCCTTCTCCATTTCTTTTGCCGCTAAAGCATCTGATACTTTTGAGAATCGTGCGTAACGAAAACAATTTTCATTCGTCCTTGGAGTCACTGAATTCCATGCAGAGTGCAACATATGAAGAGACAGAGACATGCAAAGTGCAACATATGAACCAAACTCACTGATTTTTACTCACACTGACTACGATGTACTCGTCACCGAATTTCAAAGCCAACGCATGATGTTTGTGTGGCGTTTGTAGGGGTGGAAGGCGAAAGTACCTAGATAAACAAAACTGGCTCGTGTAACAGGTTATTCCGAGGGTATTTCAAAGCCACCTTAGCCTCCTTTCTACGAAATATGTACACCCACCTCCCTTTCATTTCACATCCCGCTTAAATCTCGCCTACGAGGCCGGTGTCTTCCGTATTTTGTTCATTCCCAGAAATGATATCTTTTCGTGTTAAGTGATTTTTTTCGTGTTACGAGACACAAAATGTATACATAGTAGTTTGTCGGGACCTTGGGGGCATTATTTCGTGTTAACCGATATTTCGTCTTAAGCGTTTTTGCTTTAAACGTATTCCACTGTATATCCAATTATAGCCATATACATAAAAATTATTTTGTATGGCTAGATATTATTCCGGACTGTTGTGTTAAGGGCTTTCTTATACTCCGAAGTATTTCAAAAGTCACTACTTATTGATCTTAGCGGCTATTTGTTACTAATTCCCAGACGCGCATTAAATTGTATTAAAATATCAGTATACAGAGATTTGTCAGGATAGGTCTCTTATCCTCTATATTCGTTACGTAGATAAACGGAGACTCACTGACTCTCGCGTGCTTAAATTCTAATTCAAATCCCAAATAAAGCTTGAGCATGAATTATAGCGCTCTCTTTGCGGAACTGAGGCATGACACGGAAATCATGTCAAAAGGATGAGATGTCCTTATCGGTGTAGTGGTTAGCGAGACTGGCTGCCATATTGTTGGGCCTGGCCTTCAATCCTGGTGTTCTTGAATCCTGGTCCTGGCCTTGAAAGTCTTCGACGTTTATTAGAGTACCGTTTCTGTGCGCCAGGAATAAATTAAAATGCAAAAGTCCTGCCGAGAATTCCAATGTTAGAGGAAGAAGAATGGTAGACTCTCTAATCTGCCCACCTCGAAGTATTCTTCATGAAAACTTGAACAGAGCTGTACCATTACTGCAGTGGGGACTATAGCTGTAAAACTGGTGGTGAAGTTCTAGTGATCCATTTGGTTCTTCATGTCCTGTCAAAACAAATATAGGAAAATAAGAAAAATAAGACCATCGGACTCATTCTTTAGGCAACATTTCTCAAACCTCTTTCGAATAGGAACCACTTTTACAAACAACCATGTTCTGTAGACCACATAACACTTACTTCCTACAAAAGGACTTTTTACCACATGTTTCTGTACTTAACGTATTTCCTCACGTATTTTCTTCCCCCTTTTGTTTTACTAATTTTATCGTCCGAAAATTAAGATGGCAAAATTATGCGAATAATTTAATTTTCTAAGCACGAGGCTACAGTTAGAATATAACAAATGAAGAGTAGTCAAGGATAAACCTTATAAGACCTTATAAGGTGAGATATAAGCTTAGTACAATGAGAAAATTTCGCATATTAAGTTCGTGTAATGCAAAAACGGACTTTTGTGATACCCCAAAGCATTATGGTTATTGAAGTACTGCTAGCTGTGTTTCCACTTCTTAAATCGTTCTTACACCAAATAGTCCACAAGCTGCAAAGATATGCATACAACATAACTCATAGCAAAAAATAAATAATATTTGCTGAATATTTCGTCTTCTACTTTAGAGTTCGCCAGTCAGGGATACTTTCGTACCATCTCTACTAAAGTTTTCCGGATAACGTGCAGCGCTGCTTGACAGGAACTTGTAATTTTCGGAGGGCTTCCTTGTTCGTTTCAATAACTTCAATAATCTGAGCTTATTGCAAGTTTTCCGCCACCCTCACCATCCTCCCCCCGGATTAGCTCGATATAATTATCATCTCTACTTAAATTTTTGAGGGCAGAACAAACTCTTCTCATTATTATGAGAACTACGACTACCTCAGAAACTGAAACTACATATGCCGTTACCCATTACAGAAATACAGCTATCTACTACCAGTAAGGAACTGTTATGGATCACCACCACCAGTATTCTCGACTACGTCTGCCTCCACCACATGAGCTTTTGGTTATTTCGTCTGAAAGGAAATTCCTATTTTTTTAGGGGGGAAGGATCTAGAATAAGAAAATTATACTAATGTGATTACTTATGTGGGAATTTATATTATCACAAAATGAAAAATATTTTCACTGAGGACACTAAGTACGCATAATAACTTACTGTACTTTTAATTTACTTAACTTTATTTAATTAACTTTTTTTAATTTACTTTAATAATAATAACCCTGCTCAAATTCTCGTAAAACAGTGCTCAATTACAATGAGTGTACATTAAGTACTCAATAATATTCTGCAATGGAAATTAACAAATTTGACAAAACGATAATAACTAATGCCAAACTTACGGAATATCAAACCACATGGCTTTAGTAAATCAAAATATTTTAATTTTTCACACTTTACACGCGATACTACAAGAATTACAAAAGACACATCAATGCATTTGATAATTTACTTAAAACACAATGAAATAACTAGCCGAAAAATGTTTTTGACTTGTCAACGCTGCAAGTATGAGTGGAATGGGTACAAAAGCGAGAAAAGTTTCGAGCCTCTCAAGCCAGAAAGCAATGCTGACACATTTTTTTTTTTTACAAAAAGAAAAAAAAAAGGGAGATTAAAACCAAATGGGAGTAAAGATTAAAAAAAAAATCAAGAATTCTGTTTTAGCTCTGTTGGGGGGGATGCAACTCCATAGCAGTCACCCTGGATTCGCTACTGGCTGTAAGTAAAATTTTAGTTCTGAATTCCGTTTTCATATTTTATAAATTCCCATATAAAATGTAAAAAAATTCTGTAGAGGACGACATCAAACTCGTACAATTCGTGTTAAACAGATATTTAGAATGGATATCACGAACTAAACGTCATTATTTTCTAATATTTTGTAAATAAAATTAATGTCATAAATCTGATGTATGTAAAATAACCAATCATGATTATCATACTAACTGGAGTATTAAGAAATTAATTTATTACTGTTTTAAATTTAGGAAAGCCAAAGGCTCTATCCTTCGGTGCCTATAACAGGAAAACATGCTACTAAAGATACCAAGTTTTGTATGTGTTAGACTTTTCATTATCCTTAATGCTATGCATTAGAATATACTTTTTTCTAACAGTTTTTGTTATAAATTTACACTTTCTGTGAATAACTAATTTGAAATATATAATGCTTTTTAGTGCTTTGTTTAAATATGTAAAGAAAGAAAATGGCAATATAGTTCAATTTCTTAAAAAAGCCCTAATTTGAACTTGAATTTTTTTTTTATTATCGATTTCATATTTTGTAACACTTCAACGAATTCTTGATTAAAAAACTAAGCAATTTCAAATCGAGCAATGGCAATACTGTGCGGAAAAAAAATAAAATTGACATTTTTATCTCCAGCGCGCGAGACTTTGCATCGGAAATTCTAAAGATATGCTCATTTTAAAATTATTTTGCGCTGTTGCTGTTGTATTGAAGTTTATGGTTTGAGTACGTAGAACATAATATTCAATAAATAAAGGTAACACACATAACGTTAAAAAAACGCCCCTTTGGACGTAATTTAAAATCTGAAAGCTTTCAGATTTTTTTTATATAATTTATTGTCTTAAATAAAGTGAATTACTTTATTTTCACTACATCCAGAAATAATTTTAACAGTAATATATCGTAAAAGCGGTTATTGCTGATATTAGTAATACAAATGAAAGGTTGTTTATGAATGTACTCAAAAATATAAAATTTTGTATTTAACAATAGAGGTTATCTGAACGAACTCACCATTCAAAAACAAACAGCATCGTTAAAAATACCAAATATAACCATGCGTCGTGGCAGATACACCATTCTGTAATCAGGCTTTTGGTAGTATTTTGTAATCAAGCGTTCGGTACTATTCTCTAATCAAGCTCTCGGTAGTGTTCTGCAATCAGGCTTTCCGTAGAACTCTGTAATCAGTCTTTCGGTAATACTCTAGTAATACCATTTCTTTATTAAAAAAATGCTTTATATAACTGATTGCAGACAAAAACGAAATTAATAAATCTGAAAGCTAGATATTAGCGTTTTTTTACAATAAAATATACTGATTTAATAGTTCTAAATCTATAGCTGAATTTATTTACTTTCTCTTTCGAAGTTCACATTTTTTTCTTTTTACAGCTGGTTACACTATACCTAAAGGAGCTTCATGTTTTGTATTCACTTACGAACTGCATCGCGACAAGGATGTTTTCCCAGATCCGGAAAAATTTGATCCTGATCGTTTCTTACCAGAAAATTCTCGTAATCGCCATCCTTATGCCTATATCCCATTTTCTGCTGGTCCAAGAAATTGCATCGGTAAAAACTATGTTATATTTTATTTTAACAACTCTAACATAATAGATTATGCAACAAGTATAATATAACCATAGAATGTATGCATTCTGTTAATTATAATGCATCATACACTGCTGGCCATCCAAAATGCAACACGAAGGAAAGGATGAACCCAAATTTATTTCAGAGATTACACATAATATCGATGTTAATTATACATTAATTTTTAAATAAGCACAATACAATTTCATTAAACACGGTAAAATAATATAATAACTAAGAATATATTATGCACAGTAAAATAACATGCAATAATTATACACAACAAAAAATACATAAGATTTTTCCATAACGCAAGCTAGCCTTAAAGGTAAGGAGAACAGGCTGAGAAACCTCAGAGATATAGCGTTGTTTGCGAAGTGTATCGACAATGCATACTAGGGGTTGCGGAAGAGAAATCTAATACCATCCCACATAATAACACCGGGTGCAACACTCGTATGATGATACACCATTACAAATGCAAACGCAAGTAAAAGGTATACGAAGCAATGGACGCATAGCGGACAGTCCATCGTACTGTAAGTGTTATCGAATTGCTCGTGCAGACACTTATTGTGGTGTTACACACTGCATTCGTTGTGATACTGTATCGAATGTGGCAGTGAGCTCCACCAGTGCCATCCGCATAATATGCCTGTCTTCCCATAGAGTGGTGCGACGAAGTGGTTGCAATTACTCCTGTCCATCAGTTCCTCTCTCATGGCATCCACCGATTCCGTATTCACATTACTGTTGCTTGGCTAGGTGGGACACGATAAACGATTTCCCTGAAGGATAATCCGCAATCTCTGTACGCTATGAATCTGCCTCGATCGAACGCAGAAACATGCTTGAATGATGGTCGTCTTTTTTTTCTACGAGGCATACTGAAGCTGCTCTCGTAAGTAAACTCGCAAGAGAACAATTCACGTTATTCAAAACGACAATCTTTCCTCAATTTATATATGGATTGTAAAGAGCACTGCAGTCGCCCATGATGTGCGCGTGCGCTGAAGCAATTTGCATGTTCCACCGCGGTATTCACATGATGCAAGTTTCATGCTGTTTGTATGCTTCCTTCAGTATTTTGCATTTTGGATGGCCAGCAACGTATTTGCTCCCGAATGATTCCTGTAAAGAATTTTGTTCACGAGAAAGAGGAAAACAGACGAAAATTTGCAATTTTAGTGAAGTATTCCGCCCTCAGCTAAGCAAGTAACTTTTCTTGGAATCATTCTTGCAAATTCTCTCACATATTCCCCACGCATATTATTCACGTGCTATTATTCAAGTTTCGAGCGTAATTCCTCGAAACAATATTCTATCAGTAGACCACAATTAACTAATTTATAAATTCATTTTGCATCTCATGCTATGCTACGCCCAGTGTGGGCATACTCTTGTAGAACAAATGGGAAACAGCTGCAAACAGCGCAGAACTCCGTTTTGCGTCAAATTTTTAACTCACACTGGTGCGTTCGAAATAATATTATGCACCAAGAGTTGCAAATTGTTCAACTCCGTGCATTTTATTTGGCGAGGATCTTTGAAATCAGAATTTATAACTATGATTACAAGAATATAAATAACAAGAAAAAGGCTATAGCAATCTGAAATCCCAGAACTATATTAGATAAATAATGTATTTATGCATTCTTACTTTCTGTTACGTAAATTTATTCATGTATTTTCTGTTGTACCTTCTGTAAATTTGTATCTATCAGTGGCTTTGGGTAATTCTCCTTTACCAAATAGCGGGCACTTGCCTATAAGGCATTGGCCACTACTAAGGCCAGTGTATTCTTATTTTTACTTTTATGTATTGGGCATCAGCTCAGCAGCTTTCGCATTCCTTTTTCGCATTTTCTTCTTATTTTTATAATTCCTAATTATTTTTTTAGAAAAAACTTTACTACTACTTTTCTATTATTTTAGATATTCCTTAAAGTATGTCTGGAATCTCTATAGCAATTTCTCAAATTAATTTGATAACGGCTAGAGCACTGTGCCCAGGAGCCCTGGTGTTTGGCCGCGTTTTACCACGGAGGTGCTTATTTTGAAAACGCCTCGCGTATATTATCAAAGCAATTTCTAAATTTCGGTTTTTATGTGAAAATTGATAAAAATTCCATTTCATCTAAGTGGGTTGTGGCAAATGGTTAGTTTGCCACAACTATAGTCAGCAGCCAGCTATGGATAAATTTTGTGCATAATAGAATTATTTTCAGTCCACATTTTCAAATTCAGTTTGCATGCGTGAATTTGCTTCTATTTTAATAAGACTGTTCTTTTTTTATTATATCTTTGTCGTATACCCCATTTGGACTGAACAGAAGTGGATGCAGTATCTATATCAACTTTGCTAATAGTTTCCCCTAGTAATATATCCATGAAATGATTCATTGAATAGGTGGAGTTTTTGCAATTTCAAGTACAATTGTTATTTTCTCATTTCTCAGAGTTACTGAAAAAAGGAAAGAAACGTGTGTCATAATTTCCATTTCAACTTTACTTCAAAATTTTAGTTTTTCAATAAATGAAGATAATTTTTCGCTAGCTTCTATTAAGGTCTTACCAAATCCTTGCTTTAATGTGTTTAGTTCATTTAAGTAATCAAATATATCTGCTACATAGGCAAGCTGAAATATTGAGCATTCTTTTTTCAAAAGCTATAATTAAATCACAATTTTGTTTAGCTTTGTAATCTCCTATTCTAATTAAAAATTTTTTTTAGTGTGCGGCCCTTGGAAAGCCACTGTATTTCGATTTGGATGTAATAAAAATGCAAAGTATGAACAGCACAGGTTTCACCTTAAAAGAAGCACAAATATATGGTGATTAAGCGCTTGGCCCTGATACACTTTGCTACATAACATTTACTACAGTAGTTAAATATTGTTCTTAATTCGTTGGGAAATCTTTTGATGGGAATTCACAAAGATGCAAGGCAGTGCATTATTCTATAGTAACTTGCAGTTTCAGTCTTGATGTATAACAGAAGTTCAAAATCTTGGCCCAACATTGCAGGAGAACTATCAGTGCAAACGGAGTCTGTCGCATTCTTGGATATTTGATACTTAAAAGAACATTTTTTTAAATATGATTGAAAACCACCAGTTCAATAAGTTCCATCACTTCTTTTCCTTTCGTTTATTACGCAAACGTAAACAACTAACTTCAGTTCAATTAATTCGTTCAGTTGACTATTTAGTAGTTTTACTTGCAGTTTACTACTTAAACCAGATCTTGAATAACATCGTTCAGTAACAGAATCCGCTAAATATGTGTCTCCCACCTTGTTTGTGTGTTCTCGCGCACTTCTGCTTCATAACCCAACACAGTTTTTACAATTTCAAATGCACATGGATTTACCAGTTCTTGAACGGTTCTTTGGCTTTTCGTTTTCTAAGTATACAAATATGTCATTCGATAAGAAGCTTCTAGAGACTTTTGGACTACGACCACGTCATATTTTGACTGTCTTCTTCCAAAGGGTATCAAAATGTAGCTTCTTAGATTTCAAGACCTTAGGACTATGTCTTGCAGGTTCACCATCATGATGATTGTTGAAATTCTGTAATAACATTCATATTTGGATTTTGAAAACATTGTGCAACGTAATAATGCTTTGGTGTTCATTGCTTACTCTCCTTTTCTGCTGTACTTTTGAATCCATGAATTTAATCCGTCCATCCATCCTTACCACTGGGCAAATTTCTGTTGTCCGCCAATGGAAAGACCATCCATAATGGCCTTACCAATTGCCGTTTTTCTCACATAGCGAGAGTATTTTAATCAGTAGCATGCGTTGTTCAAATAGCATAAAATTGCAACATCACAAACGACAGGGTATTGGTTTTTGTTATTAAAAGAGGCAAAAGGAACGCTTAGAACCCATGAGCTTAGTCCTAAGACGGATATAAAAACAGAATGCGGGATCATCTATGTTCGTCGCTTTCAGAAAATTTAGATTTAAAATGACACATTTCGTTTCTCCCTTTTCGTACACATTTTAACTTTTTTCTTTTGAATTTTTATGAATCTTCTCACTTTTAGTTTAAGCTAGCATTTAATTAACACTCGGAAAATTCTTTTTCGTCCGAACTTTATCATAAACTTTGTCCTAAACGTTGCCATAACGTTTACTAGTTTCTCACAGGGGTCAATTGCTAGTTTCTGTTAAAAATCTAGAAAACTTCTATCGCTTCGCTTATGTTCAAGATATGCAACTGAAAGCTCATAATTTATTACTACATTTTTTAGTTTGCTTGATTTATAATTTGCTCACAGATACAAGCAAATAAAACATTGTATGCACTTTGTTTTTCCCTTTCTTAAAATGTAATACTAATGACGCCATCTATCGGTAAAAATTTTAATTATATTTTTATGTTGAAAACAATGCGCCTTTGTAACAAAATTTAACCCAACTGAGAACGTTAGTTTCCTGATCTTATATGATTTTTTAGGAAAATTTATAAATTTATGTGATATTCAATATTAAGGATTTGTTAAGTAAATGATAAATGCAGTTAGCAATTTTTGTGCAGTTTCAGCTATGTTTGACGTTCCCATTACTTTCAGGTCAGAGATTTGCTATCATGGAAGAAAAGACTGTAGTCAGTCATATTTTAAGAAACTATACGTTGGAGTCACTGGATCCAAGGGATACCATAACACCAGCAGCGGAGATTATTCTGCGGTCATCAAAACCGCTCAGAGTTAAATTTAGGTCCAGATATCCGAAAGAAAGTTGAGGCGATAAGAAAATTTATTACTAGCAACAGTATAAAATATTTTACAACGTCATTTTAAATTGAATTATATAATCACGCATTTTTAATCTAACTAATTATAAAAATAACAAAAAAGCATATTTTTTTAAAGAAATACTTTTATTTAAAACCTGAAAGCGATAATACGAGATGCTATTCGAGATATTGTTTCAGAACTCGATTTGTAAAAAATTATGAGGAACGTCGATAATTGTTCTAATTTTATCACAACAGGAAAAAGTGTATTATTAGAAATAAACACTTTGTAACTGTAAATAAAATTATATTTTAATTTGATTTTGCTTTTTCCACCTTAATCTCGACTGCTAACCCAAAAGATTTTTTGTGTTTAGGTGATATATATATGTGTGTGTGTATAAATGTAATAAATTGGAACATTTTTAATTGCATTCATTGTGTAGTTACTCAGCATGGGAATTTTTAGTAGGGAACGTAGTTTCAGACTTATCACATCTTCTTTACATTTTAGTATTTACCCCATGTATCATTGTAACATACGAACATAATATTGTAGATGAATTTTCGATGCTCTCTTTAGCATCCGACCTGACGTTGCTGTCTCAACTCCTCTGATAGCTGGACAGATACTAATTCTTCCAGGGCGTCGGTCTCAATTTTTAATCTTTTTTCTGAACATTCCTCATATGAAATTTTAACTCGAGTTTTATATGTGCGCTGAAACAATACTAAATATAAGGATCTAGCTAAATGTATAAGCCAACGGTAGCTGTAATGTTCATGATATGATTAACAGCATATCATTCTTAGAAAATAAACGGTAAAAAGGCTTTCCTTTCAGTCGATCTTCTTTCTCGTTCCAAAGGCGTATCCGGGAATGTTTTTATTAATTACATTCATCAAAGGCACTACTCACGCAAAAAGAGAGGCTTCTAAGATAATAAGATATTTAATTTACAATCACATCACTAAACTAAAAGTATAGTATATAACACAGAAGAGAAGGATTACATGTTTCACTCAAACGTCCATCACGAGTTCTCAAAGTTCAGTTAAAAAAGTTTTAGTTTAATGTTTTAGTTTTTGCTGCACGCATGCGCAAATCACGTGGTTGTCGGTGAGAGTTTCAACATACTCCCAGCTTTAAATTTGCTGAAAAATCAAATTTAAAACTGTAACATTTGAACAGGCTTTAACCATTCGACCAGTTCTTGTAATCATCGATGGAATCTTTTCGCTCTTCAGATCTTGAGGCAAGTCATTACGAATATCAGGTTCGCAGTAAGTCTCTGGTTCATCAGAAGAGCTGCTTGCCACATTTCTAAATCTAGACTTTTCATTTGATGATGTTATCTCCAAAGGATACAACGCTTGGTTGGTCGCAAAACTTCTCCAAGCTTAGTCTTGACCTTAACTAAACGCACATGTCCATCTCGGTTACTTTCGCCAATAACCAGTCTGTTCGCTTCTTATTATCATCGGACACTAAAACAAGATCTCCTATTTTCAGAGGTTGTGAAGCTTTTACATGTTCATAATTTTTAACTGTCCGAGATATTCGATTCGAAATCTTTTACGTAGATCTTGTAAAAGTTTTTTGTGATAAATAAGCCTTTTGTTTAAAGATTTCGCATTCTATATTATCCAGATCAGGAACTCCAATTTGTTGAATCTCATGGAGAAACATGGAAGGTGTGATCGGAGATAAATCTTCAACATCTTCCGAGACATACGTCAATGGACGACTATTCATTATTGCTTCACAGTCGCACAAAATTGTTATCATTTCTTCATGATTCAGAGATGATCGTCCTAAAACTTTGCGAAGGATTCTTTTCAGGACTCCTATTAATCGCTCTCACACCATCCTCCCCACCAGGGAGCTGATGGCGAAAGAAGAAATTTCCATGTGATTCCTGTGGATACTAGCTTATGCTCTAAGATTTTATCCTAATTTAAGCTTCTGAATAATCTACCCCTTCCTTTCAAATTCGTTCCATTGTTGGAATAGTTGGTATGGGGGTCTTCCACGTCTAGCAATGAAACGTCTCGGTGCTTGCAGAAAACTTTCAGTTGATAGCGAGAAAAATCAATTCCAAATGTACTGCGCGAAAAACAGCACAGGTAAAAATCACTATCCATGATTTTTGATTTCCCTTCAATATCAACGATCCAGTCAAGTCAACACCTACAATCTCAAAGACTGCTGCTTCTCTTACTCAGTCTTCAGGGAGAGCAGCAATGGGTGTTTTCAAAGAATTAGTATCGAACCTCTGACATACAACACAGCTTCTTATGACTTTCTTGACAGTCTTTCGTGTTTTCAAAATCCAATATTGTTCTCATAAAGCAGATATTAAAAATTGTACTCCTGCATGATTGTTCATTTCATGTTTAGCTCTAATTAATTTTACTACAATAGGATGATCTGAAGGAAGAATAATAGAAACTCGAAAATTTCTGTGCATCATCTCTTCTCAGAATTCTGGTTTTAACCCTAAAGATTCCGTTAGAATCAATCATTGGTTGAAGTACACGTAATCTTTTGTCATCTAATCCAGAAAATGATTCACTCTGCACTAATCTCAAAAGAGTTAATTCGGCTCCTTTAATTTCTTCCGCTGTAATTGTTCCAAAAGTTCTTTCATTAGGACTTAGTCTGACATTTTTAACAAAACGGAAGATCCAAGATATTATCTTTAGAATGGTATTGTACGAAGAAATCTTATCAAAATTAACTTCAGTCATAGCATTCGAATTAACTGCAGAAATTATTGTCTTCTTTCTTTCAGCATTTATAATGTCAAAATTCGGTACAATTTCAGAGGTAGGCCATTTTTCTGGAAATTTCAATCATTTCTCAACCAATCGGGACCCTCCCACCATTTCGATTTGACTAAGGTTTCCGGACTGCATCCTCGGGAAGGGAGGTCCGCTGGATTTTGCGTTCCAGGAATATAATTCCAGTCGTTTGGATTACTTAGAGTACGGATTTCTTTCACTCTATTGTGAACGAAAACGGCCCAGTTTTCCTTCTTTTTGATCCAAAATAATGCATCCATGGAATCACTCCAATAATAAATATGCAAGGTTTCTAGTCTCAAATCTTCCTTAACACGATGTGCCAGTCTAGCGCCAATCGTACAAGCAAAGAGCTCTAGTCGTGGTATGGAGATTGGCTTAATAGGTGCCACTCTGGATCGACCTGAGATGAGCTGGACCTGAGATGTAACGGAATTTTCATTACAGTTTCGCATAAATATGCATGTGGCATAAGCAGATTTACTCGCGTCACAAAACACGTGTAAAGATAAATCGGAAATTGTTTCGAAGTCAGCAAAAAATCTTCTGGGTATAGTTATCTTTTCTAAATTGTGTAATTTATTTTTCCAACTTTCGAATTTGTCAGAAAGGCTTTTAGGTAAATTGTTATCCCATGAAATCTTCTGTTTCCAGCATTCTTGAAGCATTAGCTTAGTAATCAGAGTATCGGGAGCTGTAAACCCAGTCGGGTCAAAACTCCTGTGTACTATTGACAATATATTCCTTTTGCTGACAGGCTGTTTCACAGAACTATCTTTAAAGTCACAGGACAAAGTGACATTTGATAAATTCCATTTCAACCCCAGAACAGATACGGTTTTATCGAAGTCTTCACTGCAAGGATTTCCTTTCAAAGTTGCATTTTGCCAAACTGCATCTAAAATTTGGAGAATAATTAGGCTGGAAAATGAAAATTCTCTTTACGAACATAATCATTTAAGTTTACTATAGCTGGTATAAGCACAGAACAGCTGGAAGTTTTGAACGAGCTATTTATTTCGAGTTGTTATTCAAAACCTAACGGTAAACCCATTTGCCCCTAGCGAATAGACAGTTTCCTCTCCTCAATTACCTCCCGCAGAGAAAAATAAAAATTATCACCTGTCAGTTTACATTAAGAGCAGAGAGGGGAGGGCATTCTGAGACAGGCCGTATATATGCTGCTTTGCCGTTTCGTGCCAATTTAAGTTTACGTATATATGCTGCCTTGCCGTTATGAGGACCAAAATAGTTGGACGCAAATATGCTGCCTTGCCGCTATGAGAGCCATTATTTTCGAACGCATATATACGGCCTTGCCGCCTGGAGGGTTAAGTAACCTTAAAATAACTTCAATGACTAAAAATGGAAAGCTTAATACGGGAATATATTGCAATAATATTAGTGTGAATTTAGAACGACTTAAGAAGTCCAATTTTTAGATTTAATGAAGAGAATTTTTTTAATTAAATTAGAACTGTTTACCTAAAATGGTAAATTTGAAAGTTAAAACCATTCTGCTATCTAGAAGATTTGTTAATATTTATCTAGACAAGAAACTTATTTAAGGTGAGCTACAAATCCGATATTTGATAGGTTGATTATGTATCAGTTTTGTGTATGTCATTAATCTATCAATTTTACTATTAAAAACTTTATATATATATATATATATATCTCAGCGACTAAAATCTACAACTTGGAAAGTTTTTAATTCTTACAGAGAATAAAAAAGATCTGGCTCATCATTCCTTTAAGCATCATAAAACTTTAAAATGAGTGTAAAAGAAATTTATTTTTACTTTAGCACGCGCCAGACTTTAAATTAATATTTATTTTGCATGCGCAATTTTTACAATATAAATAAAGGCTTGCAGTGTCAATAGAATGTCCCATTAATGGCGACAAATGACTTTTTGTAGCACCCAATCTTTTTGGTAAAGAAATAGAGAACAGGAACTTCGCGCAGTTCATGGATTAGATAAGAGGGGGACGAGATCTTCGATCAAATTTGGCACAGTTCGTACCCTACCGTTTTGTTTTTATGCAATAAGAATACTTCTTTTCAATTAATGTCTTATTTACCGTTATTCTGAAAAGGCATTCTAATATTTGCTACATTTTCGAATTGTGAGTTTATAAAAATTTTAAATTATTATTTCATAATATTTGAGAACAACTTATATATCTATTTGTGGTTTTCAGAGAGAACTATAGTCGAAAATTAATTTCTTAAAGCATTTAGAATTTTGTAGACATAACTAATAGAAGATGGAAGTAGATAAAAATTAATAGAATTTAACTTTAATAATAGATTTTAACTTCGATAAAGTTAAATTCTATTTTGGGGATTTTTATGTTTACTCAATTTGTGTATTTTATTGTCCATTTGGCAAATGTACCAATCCGTGTAAAATGTTAGTTTCATTTTCGAAGTAATCTTAGATGAATGATTTTGTTCAGTGTTGTTTTTCAAATATTATGTAATTGTTAGCGATAATTAAGAAATTCATAAAATTTCTGAACATACAATTTTTCTTCAAACAAATATTGAACTTTTCATTGGACATTGAAAGTACGATAATATGGACATTTTGGGGAATATCCAGGAAAAAGGACCTGCAAGGTCTTACCCACAGAACTGGATCTGCCAGTCTCAGATAATCTGAAAAGGATTCAACTCAAAGAGTTAATTACGAATTCGGCTAAGTATGAAGAAGGATTCGTGAAGAATCTATTGACCAGCATAACTGATGAAAGAAAAATCGCTGAACAAGCCAATGAGAGGTTAGCGTTAGCTGAAAAGGAAAATCTTTTGCATGAAGAGCAAGCAACCGAAAAGCGTTTGCGTGAAGAAAAAGCTACTCAAGATCAACGAATTGAGGAGAAGCGTCTGTTCGAGTTGAAAAAATTAAAACTTCAATTGAAGTTGCAAAAAAATTCTCAAAAAGAAGTGATAGATCAGGGAATAGATCAACTCAAAATTGTTATTACTAGAGTTGTCCCTAAATTTAACCTAAAAGACGAAATTGGATTGTATTTGATAATTTTTGAACGTTAATTGAAACTTTTAAATGTTCCAGAATCAAAATGGGTTTTTTACCTGATCAGTTCATTGCCAACAGAAATAGCACAACTTAATGCTAGAGAAGATGAGAAAGAATCTCAAAATTACCCCCAAAATTAAGGAAATACTTCAAGCGATACTGGTTAACTGCTGACCGTTTCAGACAGTGTTTTGCGCAACATAATAAAAGCCCAGATACAACTTGGAGAGATTAAGATCATACTTTGAAGAATGGATAACATAACTTAACATTAAAGATTTTGAACAGCTTAAAAACCTAATTATTAGCAATCAAATTAAGAAGAAAACATCTTCCGATCTGAGAGAAAATTTCATGGATAAGTGGGGAAAATAGAACCAACCGTTGGAATTAGCAGAGAAGCTGGATGCGTATGAAAATATTCGTCACGGATTAAAGAAAGCTTCCGCGCCATCTAACAAACTAAATTTTGGAAGTGGAGTCCCGACATCAGATAGAAAATCGAAGTCCACTGCGATAGCTAGAGAAGCTAGTCACGAAAAAACAACAAGAAATATAGTTTTCAAAAACACGAACACTCCACTAGAGAAAAGTACCGTCCGATGTTATGGGTGTGGAACTCCTGAATACATACAATCTAAATGTCCTACCTGCTCAAGATCTAAAGGAGAAGCAAAAGCGTCTTTAAATAGTGTCAATTTGTTTACGTTCGAATCACCTACAGCTCCATCCAGTTTAATTATCCTTAAAATTTGTGGAGTGAAAGCTGCTGTATGAGCTGATACCGGTGCTTCACACTCTATTGCGGAAAAAAAGTTGTACCATATGCTGCTAAGGAACAAAGTAAGATTTAAACCCAAACACATTTCTTTGACGCTTGCTGATGGAACACAGAGCAACGTAGCTGCCTTGACTACGATTGTGGATCTTAATGTTGAAGGTAAAGGGGTACCTACAGAACTAATTGTTTTGCCTGAAGCAAAAGAAAACAGAACACTGTTAGGCACAAACTTTCTCCAGTCTGCTGGGATTGTCTTAGATGTCCTCAACGGTACTTGGCATTTCTGTGAAAATTCTCACCTCCAATACCTTTTCTATAAGGTGATTTCCAAGGCTGAAAATTCTACATCTATTTCTGACTCTCAACAATGAGTGTAGAAATTACCAATTCAGTTAAAGTTTTTGAAACATCCTCTTCAATAAATATTCGAAGCGACGAAGGCAAGCATCTAAGTACAGAAAAACGTACTCAACTAAATATTTTACTGCAAGAATTCTAGAGTTACTTCCAACAGGGGAAGATTCAATCCCATATAGTGAATACCGTATTAAAACTGGAAATAGTCCACCAGTTGCAAACCTCCTTACAAAAGGAATCCTGTAAAAAGAGATTTGCTGAAAAAAGAATTAGATTCTCTCCTCGCTAATTGTATAATCGAAGAATGTGAATCTCCATATGCCAGTCCTGTTGTTTTGGTTCCTAAACCGAATGGTAACATAAGACTTTGCGTCGACTATCGCAAACTAAATGCCACTATTATTGTAGACACGTACCCTTTACCACGCATGGACGATGTTCTCACAGAAGCAAAGCCAACAGCCTATATGTCAACCATCGATCTTAAATCAGGGTATCATCAGGTCAAAATACATGAAACTGATCAAGATAAAACAGCTTTCATTTGCCCATTTCGGGCAACATATTTGCGCATGCCTTTCGGGTTACGAAATGTGCCCGCAACTTTTCTATGCCTGATTGACAAATTTAAAGCAGGCCTAAAGGATGTGTTTGCTTTGTCTTATTTAGATGATGTCGTTATTTTATCATGGACATTTGATCAACATGTAAGACTGTTTTCGAGAGACTTTCTTTGTTTAAACACCAGGCTAACAGGGAAAAATGTCATTTTGCATCTGATCGGATTAAATATTTAGGTTACTGGATAACCAGGAATGGAATTGAAGTGGACCCTGAAAATGTATCCTCTATTCAGATAATCCCTGTGCCAACCAATATAAAAGAAGTTCAGTCCTTCCTGCAAACTTGCTCATGGTTCAGGAAATATGTTCCAAACTTTGAGACCATCACAAGACCCCTTAGTAATCTTAACAAAAAGGGTGTACAATGGTTTTGGGGTCCTGAACTTTGAAAACTATTAAGCTTTTGAAAAATTGAAGAAAGATTAATAACACCCCCTGAGTTAAAACAACCAGATGGATCGAAGCCGTTTCGTATCCGCACAGATGCTAGCAGTTACGTTCTAGGAGCAGTCCTTATTCAAGGAGAAGGCCCAAAAGAACATGTTATTGAGTATGCCAGTCGTCTGCTCACACTAGCAGAACGAAATTACTCCACTACTGAACGTGAGGCACTTGCAAGTACTTTGGGCTCTGGAGAAATTTCGAGGTTACCAAGAAATAATTATAGCATCTGACCACCAGCCATTCAAATGGCTTATGAGCATCAAGTCACCATCAGGTCGTTTGGCAAGATGGGCTCTTCATATACAGTCCTATAATTCGAAAATTGAATATACGCCAGGAAAAGCTAATGTGCTTGCAGACATGTTGTCTATACCCTCGAATGTAAATGAAGATGTCCCTTCATTTACATTCGGGGCAATATTTGCAATATCAGCCGATTTTCCGGTAAGAAAGTCCAAAGAAATTCGAGAAGAACAGTTGAAGGACGAAGAACTAAAAAAAATAATTGACTGCTTCGAAAGCACTTCAAAAGATGAAAACTTCGCAAACGGGACTAGTAGAGGTTCACTTATAAATCAGGGTTTTCTGTATCGTTACTCACCAGAAGTAGAAACAGAAGATGCCCAACTCGTAGTCCCTACCCCGAAAACAGAAAGAGTGCTACAAGAGCACCATGATTCTCCAACGGCTGGGCACTATGGGGCTAAAAGTACTTACAAAAAGTTGCCTCTAGGTACTATTTTCAAGATATGCCAAGTACATCTCTGAATATGTTAAGAATTTTCCGGAATGTAACCGTTACAAACCGACTAATCAGAAAACAGCCGGTCTTCTTAGAACGCCAGTTTACGCCCAAACGTTCGAATCTCTATCTGTTGATTTTTTGGACCTCTTCCAGAGACCTCATCTGGTAAGAAATGGATTCTTATCGTAAAAGTTATCAGTACAAAATGGGTAGAACTATTTGCCCTTGAAGAAGCAACAGCTGTCAACTGCGCCAAAACGTTAGTCGAAGAAGTTTTTCTACGATATGGACATCCACGTAGATTGATAAGTGATAATGGTCCACAATTCATAAGTGCCGTTATGCAACAAATTTGCAATTTTCTCGAAATTAAGCAACACCTTATTCCTGTGTATCATCCCCAAGCAAACCCATCGGAACTTAAGAATAGGGATCTAAAACCTCGACTTGCCATACTCGTCGGAGATGAACACAATTCCTGGGAAAAAAAAGCCACTCATTCGTTTTTCCATGAATACTACCCAGTGTGAAACCACTAATCACACAGCAGCTTTCTTGCAGTTTGGCAGAGAATTAAGAACAACCTAAGAACATTAATTGATAATGATAACTTCGTGGCTGAGATAACCCCATATCTCAAATAATTTTCCCGTTTAACTGCAGAGATTAAAGACCACGTCGAATAGAATCAAGACAAGAAAAAAGTATATTATGATCGTCGATCGGATTACAGATGTCTCAAAAGGTTTCTTACGAACCAGGTGATAAAGTATGGGTGAGGTTACATCCTATTTGCATATCACAGACTAGAAAGTGCCAAAACTTCATGCCTAGACGTGAAGGACCTTGTTTAGTGTTAACCAATCGTTCACCCACTACGTATGATACTGCTGATCCAGCTAAGCCAATGAAGTCCTTGGGACTTACCACAGCTCAGTTTTACGCGCTTATGAACAGCTGTTTCAAGAGATAATGGGACTGTAGCACCTCTTCGGAGACGAGGCAGACCAGCGAAACATATTTCTGGCTCTTCGCCGAGACATCGTACGAGCCAGAGGGGGAGTCTGTAACCCCACGGCTCAACGAGCGCCAGTTAGCGGCCGCCGGGAAAAACGCCGGCCAACAAAGACCATAGCAGTCAGTCGATGTACTGGACTCAAGACACTAAGATGGTGTTCTCCGAGATTTACTTGGTAACTAAATGTGTAATTACAACGCCCCTAATTGTAATGTTTTATCTTAATTGTGTTTTGTTAATTAAAACTATTTAAAAAGGGCAAGTGAGTCTTTTGTTTACGGTAGTTTTGGTTATAGTATATGAATTTAAAACCTGATCATTGTACGTTGCACAAAACTCACAAAAGTGCACAAATTTTAATAATGAGTAAAATATAATCCTGAACATACTTGAAGTATTTAAAAGGTACTATTATTATTCATATATCCATAGTGTTTGACACATTTCTTACAAGCAAACAGCTTTCAGACTATGATCAGGCTTCCTTTACAGTTTTTATACATTGCAAAATGACGTCTCACTATTTTTCTAATCCTTCTGTTATGACAACAAATATTTAAGAAATCCCTCACAAAGTGAGTACACTAACCAACAATAATTGTTGTATTCTAAAGTAAGATTTGAGAGCAGCACATGTTATATTATAAATAAAATTTAAATAGCATATAAAAAAGCTCGAAAATTGCGATTAACTTTAAATAACTAGATAATTTTAATATTTAACTAATAATTAAAATATTTTAAACACGTGTTATGTTTAATTTATATGGAGTTCATTCAGTGTGCAAAACGTACCTAACTCTGAGTTTATCTGTGTGATTAGACGCTGTGTGGGTTTCATGAACGAATTATGGATTTTGTAATGAATGATGCTGTGTATTGTCGACTGTGCGCTTAGTAAATTTAGATCATGAACTTTTAATACAGTAACTATTTAAAGTTATTCAACCTTGAGTTCTGACTGAGGAGAAACATACAGGTAACATAAAGAAAGAAAAGTACTTATAACTAGTGACTTTGGATATACAATTAACATGCCGGACGATACTGCTGGAGCAGGAACGTCGTAGAGGCAAGTTCTGCCAGCACCAAAATCCCACAGCTTTGGATTAATAATCCCGCAGTGTGATTTTACCAGGTGGAAGCCCAGTTCCAGATTTGCAGTGTTAAGACAAAGGACACGAAGTTCAACTACTCGATCGCTCATTTGGAACCTAAATTCATGGAAAATATGTGATATATTTCTAAAGCTGGTTCTAAGCAAAAATATACAGTTTCAAAGGAAAGACTCAGAAAGTGTCAGAATAAGAAAATAAATCGTTTAATTACTCGAACGGAATTAAGCGATATGATGCCTAGCCAGTTGTCACGAAAGATGCGATCACGTGGATCAAACGATGTACCTGACAAAGTTTTGCGCACTTTATGATTGGATAAAATGCCAGATGCTGATAAAAACATCATTACTGTGTGTGGGGAATCTCTGGAGAAGCTGATGACGATGGAGTCTCCAAGATTACCAAAATATTCTGCTATTCACACTAAGCCTGCTTGGCATGGATGAGTTAATTGCAAAATTCCCTTCACTTGAACTACAAATAGCAAGTATGCAGTTTCAGCAGAGACACTCCTGTACTTCTAATTGGGTCAAGTTACCAAAAATTTCATCTATTTGTAAACGTAAAAAAAAAAAAAAGTTTTCCCAGTTCCTCGTTGATAGTATTGCTGATGTGTCAGTTTTATCCCCTTCTAAAACTGATTCTAACAATCGCGACAGTGAGTTAATTGCAAAATTCCCTTCACTTGAACTACAAATAGCAAGTATGCAGGTTCCTCGTTGATAGTATTGCTGATGTGTCAGTTTTACCACCTTCTAAAACTGATTCTAACAATCGTGA